CTGGTCGCCGCCGCGGCCCTCGAGCAGCCGGTGCATGGCGCCCAGCGTGCCCGGCGCCAGGCCGAGGTGCGCGTCGAGCAGGGCCAGCACCAGCGTCACGACGCCGTGCGCCGACTGCATAAAGGACCGGAGCAGCGCGCGCCGCGACTCGAGCACATCCGGCGCGGGCCAGCGACGGCCTAGCTCAAAGACGTCGTCCTTGCCGACCTGGGCGCCTGTCAGAGGGGGAGTGGTGAAGAGCAAAGTCAAGTTACGCACGTACGTACGTTGTAGAACTCGTTGCGGTCGAGGTTGCCCGCCGCGTCGGCGACCGACGCCCCCACGGCCTTGTAGCCCATGTAGGTCCCGAGGCGGGAAAAGTCGTACCGGGCCTTTTCGGCCAGCGGCAGGTCGAACAGCGCGCGGCCGGCGTCGAACAGCGCGTCGGCCTGCTGCAGCACGGCGTCCCCGCCCAGGTCGAGGTAGAAGAAGCCCAGGGCCTCGCAGGCGGCGGTGAAGCGGCGCACCTCGTCTGGCTCGCGCGCCCGGAGCTTGGCCAGCGAGAGCCGGAGCAGCGGCGCCGTGGGGACGTCGTCGGGGAACGGGGGCGCAGCGTCAGAGTCCATGGTTTTTTTTTTTGATCCGACGGGTTCCTGATGTGGTTTTTTTTAAAGAGAAAAAAAAAAAAAAATCTGCACAATAGTGCGCCTCCATCGTCGAGTTTGTGCCAGAGTCGACTGCCGTCTTATAGCTGTACCCCGGCAGCTTCCCCGCAAATGTCGGAGCAGTCCCGGCAAGATGTGCCGAGGCTGTCCCCGCCAGCGACGCATCGCGCAGACGGCCGCTTTTGCCGTCGAATCGCTCGGGTCTGATCCGAAGAGGTTCCCTGGCGATTGGCCCTCGTTCTTGCCTGATGCAGAGGTCATGGCCACAGCGTCGTATTGATGGGACAACTGGACGGCACACTGCGCGCCGGAAGAGTGTCTTGACCCAGGCGCATTGATCACTTTCTTACGTCAATGGACAAGATTCTGTGTAGTATTCATGCCTGTCCGACTACATGGTACATGGTCCAATTGGCAGCCCAGCGCAGACAAACGAATATAGCCCCCACCGCACCGATCTATTCCAGGGGCACCGAATCCCGAAACACCAAGCTGGCCATGCTGCATTCGCAATTAGCAAGTCTATTCCCCTGTTTACAACACTGCAGAAAAAGGAAAACTCACGAGGAAGGGTACCTGTCCCCCGGCAGCTCCGTCTCCTCCGCATACCTCCTCAGCTCAGCAACCTCGTCCGCAGTCAGCTTGATCTTGAGCGCGCCCGTATTGTCCTCGAGGTACTTGAGCGTCGTGGTGCCCGGGATGGGGATGACGTCGTCGCCCTGGGCGGCCACCCACGCGAGGCACACCTGGGCAGGCGTAGCCCCGTGGCGCCGCGCAACCTCGCGGATGCGGTCGACGAGGGCCATGATGCGCGGGAAGTTGTCGCCGCCGAGCTTGGGCACGCCGCGGCGCCAGTCGTCGGGCGGCAGGTCGTCGAGCGACGTGACGGCGCCCGTGAGCAGCCCGCGCCCGACGGGGCTGTAGGCGACAACGGCGATGCCCAGCTCGCGGCACGTCTGGAGGATGCCCGTCCGGTCCGACTCGATGTCCAGGAAGAGCGGGCTGTACTCGACCTGGTACGCGGCGATGGGGTGCACCGCGTGGGCGCGCCGGATCGTGGCCGCCGAGCACTCGGACAGCCCGAGGTGGCGAATCTTGCCCTCCCTGGTGGTTGTTAGCATCCCTTTTTATGTTTCTTGATAGAGTAGAGCAGGGGACGTGCCTCTTGAGCTCGGCCATGGTCTGGATCGTGCGCTCTATCGGCGTCTTGTCGTCGATCCGGTGGACGTAGTACAGGTCGATGACGTCGGTGCCGAGGCGCGCCAGGCTCGCGGCGCAGGCCTCCCGGATCCAGGCCGGGTCGTTGTCGACGGTGCGCGAGCCGTCGGCGCCCGCGCGGACGGCGAACTTGGTCGCCAGGAAGATGTCGTCGCGCTTGCCGCTGCGCCGGAACCACTCGCCCACGCGCTGCTCGCTGCCCGTGTACACGTCGGCCGTGTCCCAGAACCGCTCGCCGATCTCGTGCGCCCGGTCGAGCAGCGCGAGCGACGACTCGACGCTCGTGTCCTTTTGCCCGTACCACCCGGCGAAGCTCATCAGGCCCAGGCCGATGCCCGTGACCCGGGGGCCGTTTCGGCCAAGCTGGCGCGTGGGGACGGAGTCGGTCATGTTTGTGTAAGAGTGCGCGGGTTCAAGGTGTGCTGGTGGCTATGAAGCTCTGGAGGCTGTTTCGGCAAGCGAAGCCATCGCCTGCTTATATATACTTTTTTTTTTCCCTCCTGGCATTTGGGTTCGACATCATCGTCGGGACGGAGCAGTGAGGGGGGGGAGCATGGCGGCATTAACTTCGGCACTGATGTCATGAGTGGACGGGCGGTGCTTAAAGCCGAGGGCTTGCAGGGCGGCGTCTTGCTTTGAGAACGCGTGGCATGTCTTGATGGGAAACTGATGTTTCGTGCTGAAGGCTTTTGTTTTGAGGGACGGGCTTACATGCGATTAACCCGGTTGATTCTGCGCGTACGAGCGGCACGCGATATGGCCTCACCCGGACTTAAGGGAGTTTATGCGCACGCGGGCAGCGGGCCATTTGCACCAGTTTCGTCCGTAGCTCCGGACCGGATGCGGAGTTTGCACAAGGAGGGGTCACCTGAGGTTTTGATTCTTTTTGTTTTGTTTTATTTTATTTTTTTGTCTTTTGCCCGTGACTTGATGGCCAAATTGATTGTACATTCGTGATGTGACCAAGTCTGATTCAATGACGTCATACGAAAGCCCTCGATGGAATAACCACGCCAGAACAGCAAATAATGTCAGAATGCCTAAAATCTCAACCCGTCTATAAGTGCTAGACAAAATTGACATGACGATGCGGCTGCTTCAACCTCGTTGGAATAAATGACATCGTACGCGCAGACTCACGATGCGTCTGCTGTGTAACAGAATATGCACCACCGGCGTCAATGGCCATCTCCACTCTGGGGAATCCCTGTCCAAGCACCAACTACGGAGTACCGTCGTACAGACATGATAGTCACCCTGTTGAAAATGTGGGAGGGGTGAGTGCCGGCTTACACGCCAGCACCCTTGGCTAGCTGTGATGAGGGGACAAGACGGACAAGAGGTGGATGAAGGGGTTGAGAAGGTCAAATACCGACTGACTAATATCCACACTTGTGTGGTATCGTGAGCCTATACTGCGTCGGGAAAGTTTGGAAATTGAAAGCTGTTGGGAGAAAATTATCCCAACGTCCAATCCTTGCTTGGTCTGTTAAGGGCCGACCAACTCTGCAAGTGCTCATTCCCCTTGGATGTTTTTTCCTATCTATCCGTCAGACACTACAAACTCAAGTTCCAACACGACGCACTGCAAGACTCATAAACTTAAGAGACAGAGTAAATTTGTATGCATAAGTGAACTATTTAACATGAACCATAGGCTATTCCACCTTGGGCTTTAGAAGCGAAAAATTATCTCTTATCCGACACCTCCTTTGTACTCTTCTCCCCCAGAAGCTAAAAAGCCATTACTTCCAACGGTGTAGATATTATCGTCACTTTTCTCGACAAGGCTCGAGTGTGAGTAGAGCATTGTACAATGAATTTACGCACTGATGGGGGTGCAGGCAACGTTGACAACACCCTGTAGATACCATTTAGTTAGATTTGTAATAGATTTGCGAGAAAGTTGGTCTTGTATACTGACATTTTGCTGGACATTGTTGCAGCAGACGGTTTGCCCGGGGCAAGGGGGATTGAGAGCGTCAACTGCAAGAACGTTCAAGTTGGTGCACGTAGGATTGAGAGCGTCAATGGGGATGCCAGCTTGCCCGACCGTCTGTTTGTCGCAGCAAAACACGGTGTTGTTGCACTCAATCTTATTGCTGCTAGGCTGCTGAGTTGGGATGGCGGCCGCGACGGCGGCAAGAGCGACGATGAGAGCCTTGAACATTTTGAAGGATGGGGGTGGTTGGTTGGTTTTGAGGGAAAAGTTGTTGTTGTAGAAGTGTTGGATTGGAGTGTAAGTGAATGTGGAAGAAGATGATGCTGATGATGAGAAAGGGTTCGAGTTCAACAGGTCCCCAGGCCGATATTTATATCCAAATCGACCATCTTCCACGGCCCTCATCAGCTCACATCCTCTGCTTCTCTCGTCTGTCGCAATCTCCACCATCTCACCTGGTCCCTTTCTCGGTGCTGCTCATCGCCATGATACGAGGTGGGTGTTAGACAACAATTCGGGCCTCGACAAAAAAACAATGCCCGTGATGCTCCTCATCCATTCTGTTCCGTTCAAGGCAGGGAGACAGAAACATGCACGTAGAAAACTGGAGTCGAATGTCTAATGTCCCACGCCATGGCCACAGATATCCCGTGCTTGTACTCCGTAACTCTGTACGCAAGGTTGACAGTAACCGCCTTGCTGGTGACCACGGTCGAGATGTGATGGCTTCTGCTGAGGTCTGATCGACAAGTCCCTGCCGTCTTGTTTTGTTTCACTCGAGCACAATGCCGCCTGTCTTGGAACAAGCTTATACTTGGCTTGTTTACTTGCTAACAGAATGGATTAGCTTCCCGCTATTTTCCTTTTTCCCCGAGCTCGTCTCCCCGTAGTCAAGTGAAGGCTGTTTCGGTGGCGGGCGGCACTAGCTTGGAAAATCACAATCAAAGCTAATCTGCCTAAAACAACATGCATGATGTTCCGAAAAGGGCAGCGAGCCGTAGGATTCGCTTTCCTCGGCGATGCGGGTGGCGCACGGGGAGGGATGTCGTCCGAGTCGGGAAACAAAAGTAAGTGGCTCGTCCCATTTAGTCGGTGACGGGTAGATACAAGGCAGGGCGGCAAGCTCTGACATCAACCATGTCGGCACAGAGCACCGCGGACTGATTCGGGAACGGATTTCCATCTCCTTCATCTCTTGGCCCGGTCGGTGAAACAAGGAGGGCCGGGTCTGTCTTGACTAGACAATGGCTTATATGCAGTGCAAAGGGGAAAGTGTCCTATCGGTGATGTCTGAACAAGACTTTTGATAGATGAGCATTAGACCTTGATAACATGGTCGCCTCCCTACCTAAGCGCTTTGATGGGCAAATGCAGGTCTTGGACTCTTGGCCTGGGGGACGGGGGGCCTTGCAGCACGGCAATTCCCAATGTGGCGCCATGGCATGATGATGGACGTGATGCTTCGGTTCAAATCACTACAGATGCGCCTCCCGCCTCTTGTCTGGCTGTAATCTCCCCAAAGTCGGGTCGTCGGGGCCTATTTGCTTTTTTGAGCAAAAAGCTTCGAAAGCCATTTTCCCCAGGCCTGTCAAGTCGTCCCGTCGGGATCGACATTGGACCCCTTTTCCGCGCATCCGTTGACTTGGGATCGAATAAAACAAAAGACGAAATAGAAAGTTCAATCAGCTGCCATTGGGCGGGAAGCAGGCCGGGCTGTATCATGCGTCGTGGTGGATGAATCACTTGATTCGAGGCTGGCCACTCGATCCCCCGCGTTTTTCTGGCCCTGCAGCCAGCGGGCCCGTTTGATGCGCCGCACCCCTGCCGTCGTCCAAGGCGCCAAGCGACCTCGAGTCACCTTAATCATGTCTGGACCACGTCGCTGCGGCTAGCGAGCTGCGAGAAAAAGAAAGTGCCAGAGCGCCATGGAAAACGTGCGCGATTGCCGATGTGCCTCGCAGGTGTTGTTGTGCGGGTGACGAGGGGTAGCGTGCAAGTCGTCCTACCTGTGGTGGGGATAAATCGCAGTAAGACCAAGTGCCCCTTTTAGTGGTGCAGCTGGCAAGCCTCACGATGCTACCCTATACATGTATTCGGTGTATTGGCGATTTTTGTTTACCATGGAATCATGGGAGTTTCCCTCATTTGCTTGTTGTAGTGTTATAGTGCTAGATTTTCGAATTTACAAGAGTCCACTTCCATGGAATATCATAATACATAGACCGAGTTGGTGAGATTGGCCATGTAATAGTGTCCGGTGCTAGTAGTTGGTTAGAGAACCCCAAGCCTCCTGCAACCATGTCAGAACCATATCTGGCTTGGTGAAAATAATAATAAACCAATTAAATTAAAAACAAGAACATGATCTTCGCTCATAAAGGTTCCTACATTCTTAAGCATTCATCGCAGATATACTTTAATGTACCGAGTCTCATTATACAGCCTTCGTCCTACATATTACAGAAGCAGCAAACAAACTACGCAGAGCCCATATATTTCTCATACATATCAAGCGCATCCTCAAACAAGACACAGTTCTCGTCAAGTACTGTCTGATTCACAGGCGTCGCACCCGCCGCGTGCGCAGAACCAACATCACCCAGCGTCACCACGTCCCAAGGCCTGAACGACGATCCCACCATCGGCCAGCCGGGACCGCCGCCCGGGTTTCGCACAAACCTCCCAATCGCACCGCGAAAGTAGTTGACAAACGTGTACAGCAGAGGAGTCAACAAGGCCCCAGCCGCCGTCGAGTCGTCGTACGTCGGCGAGATTACGAGAAGCAGCAGGTCGCTGCCGTGGAACTTGCCCAGGTAGCCGTACTCGCTGGGAAGCCTGTCGACTATAGACATGTTGAAATAATATCGCCACGTGGGGTTGTGAATCGACGCAGAGACCTGCGTCAGCTTTTGCATCGGCTACACACGTTTCTGTCAGCTTGCCGTCTGGCCCGTCTAGTATCTGCGGAAATACCTACGCATTGCCAAAGAAAGTCGGTGTATATAGCCGCAGCCAGGTCAAAGTCTGTCTTCAAACCGGGCAGTTTTCTGTAGTGCGCGTAGATTTCATCGCGTTGCTCGTTGCTGAAGAACGGTCCAAACAGGTATGCCTCGTTGAACCGATCCAGCGAGATGTTGCGATTGACAAGAGCTCGTCCTTCCTGTGCAATCGTGCCCGCCAAGATCGGCACCTTGGCCAGATTCCCTTGCCTCCACGCGGAAGCTCGTCCTGCGGGAACAGCCCTGTTGTCCTCAATTGGGATGAAAATAGTACCGGCCTTTTGGGTAATATTTACCAGCTTTTCCGCTGGCATTGTTCGCAGGCAGTCAATCGTGCTGGCTCCCTTGCACCCGGCCTCTTTTACGACGCTATCCCAAGCTTTTGTATTGTTTGGCGCTGCGGTCGTGCCCAGTAGGCCGAACGAGAACTCCCCGCTGGACATGATGGCGCCTCGAAACGGGGGCTTGGTGACATTGGTGTATGCGTGCATGTGTATGTCGACCGAGAGCGACCCGGCGGATTCCCCCCAGATGGTCACCTTGGAGGCATCGCCACCAAACGCCTTGGCATTCTTTTGCACCCATTCGAGTGCGAGCTGTTGGTCGTATAGGCCGAGGTTTCGTTGTTGCACCGGGAGCTCGCCGCTGTTTGGGAAACCGAATACTGCGCGCGCACCCTTACTATGAGCAAAAGTCGAAAGAGCTAATGTCAAGAATTTGTGTATGCCACGTACTGTTTGTCCGGTAGTTGAAGGCGAATGCAACAATGTCTTCATACCCGGCAAACCCAGACAAGTCGAGCTGGCCATTGCCCATCTGCCATCCACCACCGGGAATAAAAACAATAATTGGACGGCCAGATGCCGGACCGGAGGGTGTGGGAGCGAATGCATTTATTAAAAGGCAGTCCTCGCTTTGGGGCGGATGTTGGTTGAAGAGACCATGGAGAAGGTCTTTGCTGGGGCCGACATCTGCGCAGCTGGTTAGTATCACGGACGAGTGTTATTGCCTGCTCCGCCATGATTTGCACCCACCACTATCCGGGACCAATTGATAACACGAGGGTCCAAAGGCTGTCGTATTCTTGGGGGATCTCCATCTCTTTGGTGGTTTGGAGAGGGTGAAGCGTTCAGGTTTCTCTGCGTATGGTATGCCTAGAAACTTGTTGACAGGCCCAGGAGCCCCTGGGAGTTGGGTTGCAACACCGAAAATTAGCCCAGAATCAAGTGTTGCTGTTGGTGCAGTGTCATGGCCGGCGGGTATGGCGGCTGAGGTGACGGCTTGGAGCAATACAATGCAAGCAACTGGGAGCTTCATCGTGGATGAGGTTATAAGCAACAGCAACGCAAGTCATGCTCGTTCAGGATCGAATGCCAGAACGTCCAAAGACACAGAGATATATACCCGACTCTCCTAGCATCTCTTTGCTGTCAAGTTTATTCTAACCACCCGAGAGCCGCCCCCCACGATGTGAAGTATTACTCCAACTCCTCTCTCAATTTCCGCCGGGAACTGTCTGCCTAGGTGAGCTGAAGGGCCCTGTGGACACCACGGGCGTTGACACCTAATATTTGAGCCAATGGCGATGGCGTAGACGCTGTGGAACTTCCCAAAGAAGAAATCCTTCCAATGGAGGTTGCGTTCGTATTGGAGCCAATGCGTAGATACGACGTATACGGCCTGCGGATGAGCGAACCCTAATACCACACAGCCCCCAGCCTTATACCTTGGCACAACGTTTCGTGTTTCGGACTCGAGCGATACACGGCGATGTTTTGAGATTACCGATAGTGGAGTGTTGTATTCGCCAAGCAGGCTATGCTCAAGCGCGGGCAATGACATTCTGCGTTCTTGTGTGGTCGTGGTCTGCTTCCATTTCGAGTCGCGATTCTGGCTACCTTTACACTCCGCCTCGATGAGATTGCAGTCGCGGTACGCGATAGCAACAGCATCCTGGAATCAGTCGATTCATGTCCCTAAGAAGATAGAACTATACGCAAACCAAGAAAGAAGATGTTAGCCACGGACAAGCACAGCGCAGACTTTGAGACTTGCATTGCAGTCCTCGGGAACGACCCATCCACGACAGCAAAATGGCTGCAGAAAAGAGATATCGATTGTATCGGCAGCATATTCTGGTATATGAGAGTATACAGGAATGTCGAGAGTAGTGTCTGGGAGAGATGATGCCCGTAACCTCTTCCCGTGAGATTGTGGTCGTCGCAGTATTTAGGGGGTTGACGGCTGGCGGCATGGCAGCTGGTGACTCTGGCTAACAGCTGTCATCAATTCTATTTATTTCATCATCTCTAGCTGCTGCTTCTTCCTCTTCTTCCTCTTCTTCCTCCCCCTCCATTGCATTTCTATCTTCCACCTGTCAACATTATTCCAGCATTCTTATTGAGACATTTGCGATTTTCATCAACACCCGCACTTCAAAGTTTGGGGATCTTAAATCTTGGGTTCGTCTCTTCTCTGAGAATATTATTTTTAATCGCACGTCGAAAAAGAGTTTCCTGTTTTCTTAATTTTAATTTGTCGATTCACTTTGCCACCAGCACATTTCGTCTAGCCGGCGCAATATCGAATCAGACTTGTGGTTCATACGGTATTTCATCTCCATATCATTCTTTGGCGCTTCTTCCTCCCAGCCTCACGTTTATAACTAACCTCACCAGCTACAGAATAAACACCATGCCTGCAACAGCTTCAGACCTCGAAGAAGCCTTTAGGCCAGTAAACGAATGGGACTCGAAGATTGCCGCCAAACTAACTGAGATTTGGGTCAAAGACTCCGATACATGGACAGAGAGGAACAGAATCGAGTTCAAATCACTGTGTGCCGACGCCCGTATCACGCGCGCAACAACCACTCCCTCTAGCCACAAGATTCATCGGAAGATACAAGGCCGCAAAGCCACAGCAGCCGAGTACACCATTCTCTCCGTCATGTTTGGCAACCGCGCTGTAAATAGGCTCTCCTGGGGTGCTCAATTTGCAAGGCAGAAGACCATACTTCCAGTCGAAATCGGCGTGGTGACACAAGACGTGAGAAGAGTGCTGAGGGAGACTTGGAAGAGCCCAAAAACTGAGCAGACTCCCAAACCAGAAGAGCCAGAACCCGGCATACAAATGTCCGGTGGTTTGGGTCAACCGAAAGCAACCGACCACAATGGGCCAGAACCCCAACCGCCACATGAAAAAGTCCACGAGGCCCGCCCTGTCCTCGCAGGAGGGGATCCTCAAAGTCAGGCAGACAAGAGCACTGTTGGAAACGTCGGCGACACGAATGGCAGTTCGCGCACTACTGCGAGAGGCGGCAATAAAGCCAGCGCAGGCCTCGATGGAAGAGACAACATACCAGCCGGACGCCGAACACGACCCCGCAACAGCGGTCGTAATATCGATCCAGACAACCCCAACGAAAATGAAGCCACCGACGAGAGGGCACAAACAGAAACCCGAAAGGCAAATCAAACAAGTCGCAAGCGCAAGCCGGGTCCTGCCAAAGGCCCCTCGACCAAAAAACAGAGGAAAACAGCCGGGCAACAAAAAGACCCGTGGGATACGATACAGAATGCGAAGCCGACAGAGGGTCTGAAAGCAAATATCAAGAAAGTAGAAGCACGCTGCGTTGCTCAGGAGGCAAGAATGGCAAAGTTAGAGGAAGTAATCTTCGATATACGCGATGATCTGAAGATGCTGCGGCAGCAGATCGATTCACTCGCCCGTTATCTAGCGGGATCTGGCTAGATTTGATAGCTAGCTCGGGGGATAAGGGGCACCGTTGCGGCGACCAGTGCGGTGGAAAGGGAATGACTAGAAGCAGCCGTCACGGCGACGGATGAGTATATTCTAGTCGCGATTTTCGAGCTATAAATGCTGCCTAAAGGCAGGTTTTTGCTGAACGAGGAGGTTCCAACGGGCTGCGAGAAGCTTGTTTTGCTGAGATATTTTATATAACATAATACGACTTTGCTATCTTCTTGCTAACATCATCGTGGTAGCGACCATCGCTGCCGATGTCGTCGTCAAGGCTCCTAGCAGCCGATTTTGCTATACAAAAGGGCTTCACTATTTCAGTGTATACAGCAGCGGAAAGGTACGACTAGCAGTATACAGGTGATACTACAGTATACCGTAATATATTCGAATATCATCAGCCGTCGGCTGATTGCATGTATACATGTACCAAAGGTTGTGTCGTAGTGTGTCGTAGTGTGTCATAATACCACTGCAATCGTTGAAAGGTGTAAAGCGGTGATTCCAGTGGTACTCAAAGTCCGACACTCGAGTTCGTCTTCACAACCATTGACGTCGCTTGGGTTCGCGACGAGTGCTACACGCAGATCCTTCGCCGTGCGTTCAGCCAAATTATTAACGGCTAGTGTACATACGCACATTGGGTATAAATGGGTATGTGTATTCGGCATGAACAGGCATGTCAGTGTAATCGAGCCCCAAACCCATCCAGTTTCCCAACTCACAACTCACAAGTCTTCATTTATAACCAGGCCAGCTCACAGCACCACCTCTGTCAGTCGAGTACACGCGCAGCATCACCTCCAACACTTGCTCCTTCTCACGCGCCGTTTCCAAACCCGACATCCGGACACCTCGCCCATTCTGCCCGTGCCACACCAACATTTCACCAGCAGAGGGCGATTGTTCTCAGCGATGGAAACCACATTGCACCCGGCCCTCGACTAACCCGATCACCAGCTCGGCGAGTCCAACCCCCTCTCATCTGTTAGAACAATGCCCACCGGCGTGTAGGTCAACGTAGAAACAAGGTTGTCAAGCCCCTATTTACACAGACTCTGCAGCAACTTGACAACCTCCACAACTCGGCATCAACACCTCCGTCTCCTCTACAGTTAGCATGTCACCCAGACCAGACGCGCCGATCCGCCAGAGTTTCGTGTGCCAGCACTTGCTACCCCAACCCCAAATGCAAACCCCAGCTCGGGGTGCTCGTCCCCAGCATGGAAGTAGAACCGACCCGAACCAACATATGTACCTCAGGCAACCTTCTTGCTTGCCCATTTCCATAAACTCACAAGTAAAGTCGTATTCCCAGAGACCTAGTGTCTGAGCGTGTTCCCAGGCAAGACATCACTAGTCATGACCCGTACCAATGTCATGCTACAACACGCTAGTGTATATACGGTATAGACGACGAGCCAGCATCACGACGCACCATCGTGGTCAACGCAATCATTCAATTCATGACTTGCTGTCCTGTTCACTTCCAAGCTATTCAGACCCTCTTCCCAACACCATAGCGCCGCTATATACATCGAGAAAAGAAAGATGCGTCGTGGTAATGGTGAATACATAGTAAAGAAATAGTAAAGCCTGTGCATTTTATGCACTTTGCCATTTGCAGGGCTCGGCGCGAATGAATGTTCCTGATATCTCGTCGCCCTAGTCATGTAGTAGGTATCATTTCAACAAAATAAAAAAGTCTCTTTGCCAAAAGCAAAAGAGGGAAGAAAGGGGGAAATCAGATACTAGACGTGCTTCCCGTGATCCATGCAAGTCTTTCAGGACAAGGCCTTGTGGCATCTTGCAACATTCCACCAAGGCGAGAAATCTCGAACAACAGTTTTTTCCTCTTTTGAGCCAGCCAATGCTCCTCCAGCCGCTTCCCCCTCAACATTTTCCCAGCCTTTGGACCCCTCAAGTTGTCCTACCAATCGGTGTCTCCTCATTCCCCATGGCGTAATAAGTTTGCTCTCAACCACTATTCCTCCAAGTGGTTGAATTTAAGGAGCCATTTTCACATCGCCATTAGCCTCAATAACGGTGGCGGGCGGCTCAAATTGAGGGGACTCAAGCTGATCGCCATCGTTCGTAGGCCGTCGCCGTTTCCCCATGCGCTCACACCATTGTTCAGCACTGACAATGGTGCCGTCCAAGACGCCAGTGATCTGCGTCACCATCTCCAGACCTTCCTTTGCCAAGACCAAAACCTTTTGAGCACCTTCACGCACCGCCGAGTCGCTATCCTTCTCGCCGCCTTCCGAGGACGTGTCTGACATGCTGGCTAATCGAAAGCGTTGGGGCAAGCTCGTTAGATGCCGGCGCACAAGGATGCGAGCGTTCTCGGGCAAGGCGCCGCCGGCATATTTGGACACGGTATTGATGGTTTCCTGAAGAGTCTTCAGAACATCAACCTTGAGTGTATTGATCTTGTTAGTCAGCTCGGTGCGGGCTTGTTCTGGGGTTTGTCCGTTGGATTGACCGTCGGCATTGTCAGGCGCGTCGGCGGAGCTTTGCGATTTGCCGGATTCCGAGTTTTCGATTTGCCGCTGGGCAGTCTTCTCGTATTCCTCCAGTGTAGTCTTCAAGTTGCCAATCACCTGGCTCATGTGGTCATTTGTCCAACGAAGCCACTTGAGGCAGTACTTCAGGCTCCGTAAACTCTCAGCGCTCATGGCGACGCTCAATCCTGAAGTCGACATGATGAGGCGAGATGGCCACGAGGCATTGGAGGGGGTGGACCGCGGCGCTTGTTGTGATCCAGCCTCAATCTCGGTGTAGGCCGGCGACCTCATCTCGTCATAGGCGGGCAGGGTATCTACGGTGCTAGCCGACGACAATCTTCTTTCACTTTTCGGTGTAGACGGAGACATGTCGGTATCGCCACTTGTCATATCCCTGCTCTTCTTGTTGGCACCATCGCTCTCTTGACCAACCTTTCGCCGCTTCTTGGAATTGCCATTGGCATCGGAATCAGCTGAGTTGGGCTGGCGTCTGTTTCCCAGGAACCAACGCACACCACCTTCAACACCTGTGACTCGGCCAACCGAGTTCACAGTTTTGGCAAGCGGCGTTAGGTAACCTTCGACGTATTCAGCACCGGACTTGAACCGCGGGGAGAAATTCTTGGCCCCGCCGTATGCAAAACTAGCCCCTCCGATTGTACTAGCCACGAGTGGATGGGAAGTCGTCAGAAGGGATAATAATGGTTCGGGCTGAGGTGATCTGGATTGGGAGGATGATGTTCGATGGTGGCTATTAATGGTTGGGCTCATTGGGGCCAGGCTAGCCGTATCTGGCGGCGACGAAACGAAATCTGCGAGAGCAAACAGTATTAGTACGGGCCCATGGAAATGTGAACCGAAGTAACTTGATTGACAGCCATAAGTGATGGACGGCATACCTGCTCGGAGGTCGCCAAGCGCTTCTGCCGCTAATCGAACGTCTGGGTCGTCCAAATTCAAACTGTTATTGGAACTGTGACGATCCGGCGACGGCGCGCTGGTTACGCTATTGCTGCCATCGAGGTCCATGGTAGCTGGACTGTCCGCCCGGCGAGTGGAAAAATTGGGTGGTTGGCGGTAGGCTAAAGGGCCGCTCAACGGAGGCCAGTGTGGTGATTGCGAACGGAAGTTTTGGTGGTCGAGGATGGGATCGCCCCTGAAGCCATGGACGCCAGTCACACTGCTGAGCGATGGGAGAATCTTGTCGGTATCATGATTATTCAACGGAGGAAGCTTTGTCGAGAGGGTATCGACGTCGGGAGGGGGCGAGAACTGCATGGAGGCAGCGGCGCCTTGGCCAGGGCGCGGAGTCGGGACGTTGGTTTGAGGGCTCGATGGTGAAGGAACTGCCGGCGAAGAAATAGTTGGGACGATGCGCAAGACTCGGTGGGTTGGCGATGCTATTCAAAGAATCGACCAAGCTCGCCTTTTCGCCGCGGAGCCGCACACAAAGGATAGAGCCCGTCGGCGACGAGGTTTCGTCTCTGTGTTTGTAGGAGGCCGGGCAAGGGATGCAGGGGGGGCGAGGCCTTGGCTCGACAATGGGACATCAGTCGGAGCGGCAGGAGTGGCCCGTGACGAGGACGAGGACGAGGACGAGGATGAAGATTTGATGGGTCGTGGAGGCAGGCCGGGGGGGGGAGGGCCTTGTAAAACAAAGCAACCACCAGACAGACCACTCGAGCATGGCAGCACAACAGCAGTCTCGTTGGGAGGCGGCGGTTTCACGAACCGCGCACTCGACGGCGGTCTGGGGGGCGCGAAGGGCGAGCATGTGATTGCTTGCCAGGCACCTTGACACATGTTGGTCAGCTCCAGCACCAGGACAGCGCTGGGCGGTCGGTGCTACCGCTGAAGCCCCATTTGGCCTAGCTGCGGGGGCCCCTTTTGTTCTCTGCGTCTCGCATTGTGTCTGCCCATGTCTTTGTCCTCGCCGGTTGGCCTCTCGTTTTTTGCTTCTTGTCCGAGTCAGGCCAGCCCAGTGCCCCAACAAAAATTGGCTGCCCATCCACTGCAAAGCAGAGCTGGAAGCACCCAGACCAGACATTGATGGCATTGAAGCAGCTTCAGTTGTGGCCGAGATGCCCTCCAGGCCCATGTTTGGTTCCATGTCGCCGCTCCTTCCAATGTTCCTAGCTGCAATTGACGGCAGGAGCGCTGCGACATGGACGCACTGACTGTGGCCTGCTGACGCCTCTGCTGTTCTATTCTCAGCGACGTCAGGATGAAGACCGGGCATCCTGCAACTACATGTACCGCCAACAGCGGAACTTTTGCATCAATGCCATGCCCCCTCCCAAGTGTGGTTTCCAGGCGGCGTCCTCGCAGAACCCCGGTGTAAGGCACCCATCTCCAGGCGCCATCCCGCACAGTAGTATTCTCGGGACTTGCAGTGATGGAGGCTCCAGATGTCCAGCCGGAGTTCGGGAACATGTTTCCTCCCCGGTGATCGCCGTTCCCTGTTGTCTTGCTCACGCCATTTAAACTACCAGACCTGCCAGCGACGTTTCAGCCGCTTTGCCATCAAGCATCAAGCCTTAAAGTCAGATGGTTTGACGAGCACTCCAAGGCCAAAAGGTGTCGACACAGACTCGGCACAGCTGTTTTCATCTCATCAACAGTCTTCTGCGCCGTCTTGTCGCCTATTGATGCGTGTCCATCAGCATTGCCAAGTCGGTGCCTGCAATGACTGTTTCCGTCGGCCCTGGTTGTGGGAAGCGACGGGCCCCCAGTTCATGCCATCTCGTCATTGGCTTGCACGTGCTCGGCAGTCTGGTGGGGAAATCACATGCAACGACACCACAATGCGAATTTCCATTACACAACCCAGAAGTGCTAGTGGCGTCCGACTGCGGTTTCCCCAGCTTGTGACATCAGCCTGAGGCCTGGCGAAACCAATCGACACCTCCAAAGCACCAAGCCAGAAGTTGGTACGCGCCCAGACTCGCTCCTCCCAACCAGACCAGACTCTTCTCGATTGGCTCGACGCGGTGGGTGCCGGCTGAGCCTGGGGCCATTTTCCTTCACAAGCTGCCGACGGGAAGAACATTGAAGAGAACTCGATGACTGCCAGTCTCAGTAAATCATGACTGATTCTATGCTGATGGCCAGGCATACCATTCGTTTCATATATGCATTTGGCTTGCCATGAGCAGTTATCATCCGAAAACATATGGCTTTCAATGAGTGCTTCCAAGACATGCTGCCATGAACGGGTTGCGGCCAAGCTGAGCCACTCACTCTATTACGTACTTGCTGTTTGATGCACAAGCCTAAAGTTATGCTGGCTGAACTGGGGGGGTCCTCCTCATCGCCCACGGACTTGTTCCTTGATTCACAGTCACCTTCAGTAGCTAACTAACTGTTGACGCCTCTTGGGACGAAGCTGGGTCAGAGACACCCATCGCACAGGCCCATAAATTGCCAGATCATATGACACAGGAACGCTTATAATAACGAGAACTATTGTTGGTGGTCACTGACTTCCGAATACTACAGTTACTGCTACTAATATCCGTAGTCAATCCCCCAATGGCACCCATCTACTTGTTCCCCACAGAGCAAACGACGCGGGAGTTGCCTCCTGCGCAAACGACCATTCACGATCCACTCCGTCTGCAGCATGGAAGACACGCCCGGCCCAGGGCTGCTGTTCGTTTTGTTGGGGTTAAAACCCGGTCCAATGTGAATTCTGACAGGGTATAAGGCGGCCAGATTTGACTACAATATTGCATTGCAAGAACTCCCGGCTTTCTTGGTCGATGATAATTGGCATGGCGTTGTTCACCCACACCCTCACATGTCAACGGGTTGAGATCAATCCCTAGTATCAGGTGCATGTCAAGCAAGCTGAATCCTAGAATCGTCACCAGTGTGAGTAACAGCAAGCCACTGAAGCGCCTTGGTGCAAGCGAATCGGTGTATACATAGGGCCGGTCTCTGCAAAAGTTTTTGAGCAATTTGAAAGGCGATGGACATTATAACCTGAGCACCCATATGACGGAGTTCCCCATGACAGTTGCAGGATGTGAGGCTTATCGGCAGACTGCAGATACGACCAATTCGTTACACTTGGACGGTAGTAGTCTTATAACCGTCATGGAACCAAGTCACATGAAAATGCAACACCATCACCAACCGAAAACTTGGGCTGGTAATAGATTGTGTGGGGAATCATGCAGATTATACAAGATTTGATTATGTTGCATCGGGAAAGTGTCGCGAGAATAGTTGTGGCAACGAGCCATCGTCCAGAAATATTGACGGAGCTGCACCACTGCAAGGTTCGCTACCAGAAACCATGGCCAATATCAGTTCGGCTCCTGTGTTTTTAGGTCTCTTCTCCGGGTATTTTACCCAGCACTTATCAATTATATGGCCGTTTAATCACCCTAAAAGAAAGAGAGCGTAAACGGACTATCGACGAACAATATACTGTTATGATCGCTAGAAGCAAAAACAATTGCACCTACTGCCATAAAACGGCCATATAATTAACAAGTGCTGGGTCAAATACCCAGAGAAGAGACCCAAAAACAACGGCATTAAAAAGGGCAAGAACCAAAAAGGGAAAAACGTATCCGACAGCATCAAGGACCTCCAAGCAAATCTAGCACGTTATGTGTAAGGCTCCTGTCAGCCAGGGGGATCTCTCTCAGAGAAAAGACCGTCGAGGCGAGAAGTATGGTTCGGCATTCATACCAAGTAGTCAAGCAGTTAAAATGGGCGCATAAATATGTCCGGTTCCTCTGACGCCGCCCAAGCCACGGAAAAATGAAAGTACTTGGGCAGCTCTTAATGAAACCAAAATAGATCCCTCTCCGCGCCACCAAATCGCAGCTTCCGCCCACGGCACCGCAGAGAGACACAACAGAATGTCATGTCAAACACGGGCTGGAGGATGGGCTGCACTGTCTAACGGGCGCGTTGGTGAGAAGAAGAAAAAGAGCAGAAGCACTAGGCAATTCGACATTTTAAGGTGGGCGAAATTCGAAGGGATCCATCTCTCCACGTGACCCAGGCGGTAGAAAAGGTACGAGATTCACCGCAGTTCTGCCGACCAATGACATTGCCAAGCGAATGCTACTCATTCCGTAATGCCCAGGGTAGCTGGATTGGACGACACTCGACACAGGAGACATGCTCAAGCCAACCAGATTTCTACATCTCGCCATATCACAATCCCAGCGGTTCATTGCTGAAGCCACTCCTTCTATCACTTTAAGCTGGATACCCGGGACACGAAACACATGACGAAGCGGCGCTTGTAGAATTCCTCGACAACATTCTCCTTGGCCCTCGTGCCAATTGATTCATCTGATACCCCTCGCTGGCTGGCATCTCTCCCTCCCCGCGTCAAAGCTCTTTGGCGGCTAAACGCAACCATGGCCTCGGCACTGTTTTTCCTAGATTTGAAGGGCAAGGTGAATACTACGTCCCCGAAACCCAAGTTCCAGGCTTGAGGAAGAAGAAATAAGGGCGCGACTCAGCTAACTCAATCGCCGCACCAGACGCTCCTTGCTCGCAACTACAGAGGTGACATTCCCATGTCAGCCGTGGAAAAGTTTCCCATCCTCCTATCCGAGGCCGAAGAAGAATCATCCGCCGTACCGCCCTGCTTCTCCCATGAAGGCATCAACGTTTGTCACCCCTTTTCGCAAATATATACATGAAAGAATAACAAACGAAAGACGCAACACCTTCTGACTTGAAAACGTACAACAGTACCTGTATATCCGCCACAACAACCTCTACCTCCTCGCCCTGACCAAGCGCAACACCAACGCCGCCGAAATCCTCCTCTTCCTGCACAAAATCGTCGAAGTCTTCACCGAGTACTTCAAGGCTCTGGAGGAAGAATCCATCCGCGACAACTTCGTCATCATCTACGAACTGCTCGACGAGATGATGGACTTTGGCTACCCGCAGACGACCGAGTCCAAGATCCTGCAGGAGTACATCACGCAGGAGTCGCACAAGCTGGAGGTGCAGGCGCGGCCGCCCATCGCCGTGACCAACGCCGTCTCGTGGCGCTCCGAGGGCATCCGGTACCGCAAGAACGAGGTGTTCCTCGACGTGGTCGAGAGCCTGAACCTGCTCGTCAGCTCCGACGGCAACGTGCTGCGCAGCGAGATCCTCGGCGCCATCAAGATGAAGTGCTACCTCAGCGGGATGCCCGAGCTGCGCCTCGGCCTCAACGACAAGGTCATGTTCGAGACGACGGGCCGCACCACGCGCGGCAAGGCCATTGAGATGGAGGACGTCAAGTTCCACCAGTGCGTGCGCCTGGCGCGCTTCGAAAACGACCGCACAATCTCCTTCATCCCCCCGGACGGCGAGTTCGAGCTCATGTCGTACCGCCTCAACACCCAGGTCAAGCCGCTCATCTGGATCGAGTGTGTCGTCGAGTCCCACTCGGGCTCCCGCATCGAGTACATGCTCAAGGCCCGCGCGCAGTTCAAGCGCCGCAGCACCGCCAACAACGTCGAGATCATCGTCCCCGTCCCCGACGACGCCGACACCCCGCGCTTCCGGACAAACATTGGCTCCGTGCACTACGCCCCCGAGCAGAGCGCCATCGTCTGGAAGATCAAGCAGTTCGGCGGCCAGAAGGAGTTCCTCATGCGCGCCGAGCTGGGCCTCCCCAGTGTCAGGGGCGACGACGAGCACGGCGGCGGCATGACGGGCGGGTTTGGCGGCAGCATGGGCGGCGTCGGCGGCATGGGCAAGGGCGCCAAGCGGCCCATCCAGGTCAAGTTTGAGATTCCCTACTTTACGACGAGTGGTATCCAGGTGCGGTATTTGAAGATTACAGAACCAAAGGTACTCATTCCCTTGCTCTCCCTTTCTTTCTCTCTCTCTCTCTTTTTTTTTGGTCCATCGCGGCGAGGGTAAATGACTTACGATTTCTAGCTACAATACCCGTCCTTGCCATGGGTCAGGTACATTACTCAATCGGGTGACATTGCCGTCCGACTACCAGATGCCGTTTGAGCCGACAACGTGCAAAAGGCACGAACGAGACGCAATCACTCATTCCGCACAACTTCCAAACAAAAAGCACGGGTCGGGAAAATTTGAACCGCAATGACAGGCGCATGCGCATCTACTTACTACATTATCAGGGTCATGAAACTGGGAGGGGAGAGGGAGGCCATTCACATCAAGGAGAGGAGACTGAGCAGGCTTTTTTATAAAACAGATCAATTCAATCAAGTATAGAGAAAGACAAGAATAAAAAATGTCAAAACATAAACAATTGTGTTAATCTGTGTCTGTTTCCTTTTGGGGAGGTTAGCTGCGCCCCCCCTTGCTAGCGAGTAAAAATGAGCGGCTTCGTGTTCCCGACACGAGTAAACTTGAGCAAAATAAAACGAGGGGCTTGTGTTCCTGACACAAATTGTCTAGCCTAGTAGCAACAACTAGAAACACGGGATACAAACAAGAAAATACAAGACAAGACAAAGAGAAACATTCCCGTCAAACTGCGATGGGACTCTGTCGTTGGGATGAATACTCATGGAAGGCATCTTAGCTAGCCCTGGACAAGAACGCCATTCCACTCAAGCATGTAAAGAGAGTGTAATGTAGAGCCCGCTTCATTCTCAGGGTCGAGGCAGATGTGCACCAGGTAGCCACGAGGAGTGTCCTGCTCTGAAAGCGTGTCTTTACTAGAGTGTTAGTTGATTCGAGAATACGCGAGAGGAGGGAGGGCCAACGTACAGCCAGCAGGCGACGAGCTGCTTTGCCAGCGATAGTTCCTCCACAGCCCACTATTTTCTCCGCGTCCAAGAAAAACGTCGTTGATGGTTCGGCCGCCGTCGGGAGAAGCGTGGAACGCCATGAGCCCAATGACAATGGGAAGCTCGCCGCCTAGCCCGGAAGACTCGCCTGCCATGTAAGGATTGCGGCAAATGCCAGGAACCAGGCTTGGGATCCAGCTGGCATGGCGACCTGCCACAAACTTGACTGGTGGTGGGCAAACAGACGAGGAGCGGTCCATCGAGAATGCAGCCAGGGAGACGCCATTGCTACCCGAGTCGGCATTGCGTTGATGAACAAACTGCAGGACATTAAAATCGGGATCGGGGTTCGTCCTCGCATCACCTTCAAGGGTCACAACCGGCAGCGATGGGTTGCAGGAGAAAACCGAGGCAGACTTGTACTTTTGTAGAGGGTATTGGGTCTCTCCCGCTGCCATGGCAATGCATCCTTCATCGAACTGCCCAGCGCGTGCCCAGTAGTAAGCAGGCCCAGCGGGCGTAACTTGCCCGTTTCGAAACCTCATAACCTGACTGACATGTTGGAGTGTCTCCGGCGAGTAGAGTTCTGGCGTGTTGGGAGGCAACACATTCAGCCAGTCATCTTTGCGTATGCCACTGTCAAGGTCTTGTTCGTCACGGAACCTGATCTCCAGCTCATTCACGACGAAGAGGAAGCTCACGTCTCCGTTTACGGGCCACGAACATCCGTTGCTGCTGCTCTCAGTAGTCTTGGACCGGCCAGACTTGCTGCTCTTGTGATGCTTATGCTTGCTGGACTATTGTGCCTGTTAGTTGAAGGCGTGTCTTGCTCCCGAGATGTCATCTCACGGTGCTCAAGACACTTACATAATGCGAGTTAGACATGGTGGTCTGCAGAATGGTGTATATGATTCTCAAAGAGTGGTGAATAGAATGATGAGATGATCTTGTTTGAACCAGGACTCGATTGCTTGTCGTTGCGACCATTCAGCCCCCTTTTATAGAGAAACTGATCTCGAATTTCTCGCCTTCATGACCTACTTGGTGGCGCCTCTTCTCGGTATGTTTTCACACTGATGTTTTTTGCTGCCCGAGACAATACATCCCGCAAGGATCGGTGAGTTCAGGCTTTTCATGTTGTGTGCCTCTCATGTTCCATCCAGGAATAGTCCTCAAGGGTACAAAATGAAATTTTGGGATGCCTCTTGCACCCGGTAACACGCAACACCATCTTCACTACCAGCAAGGCGGACACATCATCACCGAGGTCGAGGCTGGGATCCCGGAGTGGGGGGCGCAGGGACGACATCATCCTCTCATCCCGTGAGTGACCAAAGTTGTCTCCGATGGCGATCGAGTTGATGCAAGCCAATCATTCAGTGTATTTGGGGGCGTTCGGTAGTTACTGACGTGCCAGCTCGGCCCTGGCCGATTAACTTTATGGCAGCTTCATATGCGCAAAGTGCCCTCATTCACTATGCCAGGACAAGGAGGATGTGCCACGTGGATGTGTCCAGATCGTGTCCCTTGGCCAAGATCATAACCCGGGCACTCTGGGAAAACAGAGCCGTTCCGTAGGTACCGAAGCGTATGCAACTGAAATCTGGCTAGCGTGTCTTCGAATGTCTTGCGGTGAAGCTGCCATGGGCATATTCCTAGGGCTAACATCTTGAGCTCGTCAAGCTAACGACAGGATGTAGTCGCAAGCTCGGCGGCAACCAATCATTTTGACCGGAGGTCTTCGGAGTTGGCGATGTGTTTCCATCGCATGTGGCTGTCGCCAAATTTATGTCGCGAGGAAAATCGGTCTTGGCCAACCCCTCCGGGCGCGCAAATTATTCTTCCAGAAATTATCCACCAATGCCGCATTAAGGCTGGCTGAAACAACCTTGTGTTGACCCAGATGTGCTGATGTAGTAAAAGGTCGTTTCAACAAAAAAAGAAATAGAGGGAAAGCGTGTCATGCAGATGATTCTCGGACATGTCTTGGAAAACAAGGGCATTTATTTGCCTTGACGACACGCGGCCACATTGCAACTCGCATCCGTGGATATCAGCTCAGTTAGTTTAGTTGCCTTGGACAACAAGAACAGCCCAACCAAGCCTTATTCTCTTGTATCACAGCCTCATTCCACATTGAGCCCTTAAGGTGCTGCAAGAAATTCCACCGCCGAGGGCTGGGATATAACGAAACGGGCAGAACCTCCTCGGCCGTAAATTGATAACAGACGCCAGAGTTCTTCATTCCCGAAGATGGGCGGACGAGGCAAACCCACGCATTCCCGGCTTAAACCGCCATTGCCAGAGCTCGGACGGAATCGCAATTAGCCAAGCATGGCTACTGTTGCACCAAAAATGTGCTGGAACATGACATGGCGGCTCCAACGTCACGGCTGGTTCCGACTTGGATCGGTTTCGTCGTCCGGAATGATGCAGAGGTAGACGTAACGACATTTCGGATAATTTGATATAATCGCCGTAAGATATTATTTTCGCATTACTTGTCACAGCGCACACGCTCCTTTGAGGAGCCGGCCTCTCCATGAATTTTGGGGAGTCGCAGCCATTCGCGGCGTCGAACAACAGGCCCGTGAGAAACATCGAGCTCGGTTCTAATAATCGAGGAGATCATCGAGATCTAAGAAATCCTATCAGATGGGAATTCGAGATCCCGATCCAGCCACTTCTGTAGAATTTAAGACACATTATAGAGGCGTCATAAGAAGTCACTTGTCCATGTCCACTAATGTCGTGATGGCTGTTCCCGATGACTGAACTCGTTTACGTCGGCCTCGGTGAATCAGCCGGGTCGCGAATAACGCGGCATGGCTCTGTCTTCTGGCCCGTCTGGATCGTACCTCGCTTTAGAAACGCAAAAGCTAAAGCCTTGTAATTCAGGCTGTGGAAGTTTTCGAACCGCAAAACAAGTGCTTTTGGGCCTCCTGTATCGCTTCCTTTGGAACACTATAGTCACGCGGGCGGAGGTTTTTCTTTCTTCTGGTAGTATCATTGTCGCTCTATTTGCCCAGCTACGTGGTCGCCGTATGTCGACAGATACTTTATTCGGATCGCTTTGCCTTTTTCGTTGTCGCAGAGGCCGTGTCAGCCGCCTCTTGCAGAACCATTTCCGAGAAATGATCAAATGCTTCTTGTAGGAGCTTCTTCTCTCCAAGCCTGACCCGGACTGCCATTCTTTGACGGCGAGTAAGACTGTCTTGTGCCAGCAAGATTTCATCCTCGGCAATAGTTGTCGAGTACCGCGATGCAATGAGCCTCAGCGTCTCAACCATTGTAGAACGTAAGATGTCATCTCTCTTTCTTTTGTCTGAGATCAGATTTCCGTCCACCTTCTGCAGCAGCTTGATTGTTGCCTTGAGCTGCTCCTTCAGGTCTGGGGGCATCCCATCTACCACGGCAGGGCCCGCGAAGGTTCCATCCGGATTCGGCTCACCAGAGTCTCGTTCCAACACGAATATGTCCTCCAGGTCATCTTGATCCATCTTGTCCATCTGCAACACTCGTCAGCTGCAGTGTTCAAGCCAGTGAGCTTGAGCTAGGCTGCTTACCGTCTCGGCCATAATATTCTGTGGCACACCAAGTTCAGACATGAGGGAGTGTTGTACGGCGTTCCAAGGGATTTCTACCACATCATATCGTGAATGCTTTTCTGTGATGTAACCGTACCTTCGAAGAAGCTCGGAGTTGGGATGAGGCCCGTAATAGTTGAGGATTTCTTCCCCCGCCTTGATATCACGAATCGAAGTGACGGTCAGCTCCTCGTCTCCGTGGTTGACATGAGCCTACACGTAGTCAGTAATTTTCTCGTCATCAAGACCGAAGTTTCCCCATCATACGTTGAACTCGGCGTCCGCGTTTAGGATGTCCGCCATTGCAACCATGCCCATCATGGATTTTCCCTCTCGGTCCTCAACCCAGCCATCCGACTCGTCATCGTTCGCGGCCTCTTCATTCTCCAAATCAAAAGCATAGGCCATGATGGTGCTACCCATCCGGTGCGCCAGCCCAATCAAATCCTCATCACTGCAGTCACCGCTCGAGGCAAAAACAGACGGATGTCCACGAATGGCAGGGATGAGCCGCGTGCGGAACATTTCTTCTGCGTCAGCCTTGCCAATCTTGTTCACGGTAGCGCTGGCTTGAAGATATGACAGTTCCTCTTCAGACCAAAACATGGGGGTGTCGAATGTTAGCGGTAAGACATCGATATAAGGCTTCCACTTGGACTGATGACCCAAGAAGAACTCATACATCATGATCAGGATCAAGGCGCTCCAGGAGTCCAGGGCCTGCTGCTCATCTTCATCCCCTTGACTCTCAAACAATTCCGGCAGCTTCTCTCTCAAGGATGACGTGTCAGAATTAATAATTGCATCCCGGGGTATCGTGAAAAGGGTCGTGTCAGCAGGAATATCGCGAAGAGCAACTGTGATCTCTCATGTCAGCCCGCGTGCTGGTCAAACACGACACATCTTGGCCAGTGACGGACCTATTCCACGACCTGCGTCACGGGATCTCAGGTCAACAATCTCGATGGCATCGGAAAATGTAGCACCAGGGAGAGCTCTGAACCACTGCAAAAAGGCAGCGGTCCTGGCTGTGAAGTCCTCAGCTGTCATTTCGTACTCGCCAGCTTGGAGCACCACCTGAGGTTATTTTTACCGTTCTGTATTTTCCAGACAGTAGCAGAAATATTGAGAAAATGGGGTTGCAGCCAGGCCACCTAAGCTGGTGATAGCACTGGGTTTTCAATGTTGGGATGACTCCTGCCTGGCCGAATTTTATTCCCTGTGGGGGCCTCACCTGTGACCAGCCGTGCAAGCGGTGGCACCAGACCAGCACGTACGGCATTTCAACAGCCCGACTTGGCCATTCAATAGCGTCAATACTCAAGTAGGTATCTAGGTAAGTATGTTATGCAATCATCGCCGTGCAGCTATTAGCACTCACTGCTCCTGTTTACCTTGATGCACGTAGATCCTCACCCAATGGTTGCGTCTGCCCATATGACTTCCTCCCGATCCCATCTAGGGTAGGCTTTCTCTCTGTTCGTCACCAAGGAGGTCGCGACTTGCTTCCCTCGCAATTTATGCCCACTTTAAAAATATTACATTAAATTCAATGAGTGATGGAACAAGATACATTTTCTCCTCCACGGGCATAATTGCGTATTCTGTACCCCGGCTGTGTTGGCCGTTCAATAAAACGACCTCATCTGGCATGCAACATGAGGAAAGTCCTACTTGTCACAACCATTCTTTGTGCCGGTTTTGATCTCCCGTTTTCTTGGCTTCAACCATTCCTCCATACCTTCCGGCCAATATACTCTCCTCTCCGGCCCGCCCATGTTCAAATCATCTGCGCTCAAGATATGCTCTGGAGCTGCACTTATAGTCTCCGTTGTACCATTCACTTGTGCTTTTCCACCGACACTTCTCTTTGCCTTCTTGGGGACTTCTCTTCTTGGCTCATCCGCGCGCTCGTGCGGAACAATGTCGTTGAACAACTTCCAACCCGGGAGTTTGAAAGTGCGCATGAGTTCAAACACGGCTTGCTCCTTGTCCTTTGCCTCAATCATGAGATCCATATCTGTTGCACACGGTGGCAACGTCTTCACCCGGGCCGAGTGCTTGCGGCGATCGCGAGGTGTAACAGCGGACGCGACCGGCTCGCTGTAGTGCATCTTCTGCGTGATATTCTTCCTGGTCCACGTTGCCCTGATTCGGTCGTAGAGGCCGATGATGTCTTGTGTTCCTTCTCTAACGCTGGGGTCGAAGATGATGTTGTGATGGTGAAAGTCGAGTATAAGTGGAATGTTTAATTCCTCGCAAATGGGTAGTAGGTCATGCACGCTCCAAGATACGTCGTCGTTTTCCAAAACCAGTCTGTTCTTAACTCCCTCTGAGAGCTTTTGGTAGTTTTCGCGAAACCGATTCAAAGTTGCCTGCTTGTCACCGTACACGCCGCCCATGTGTAGAATCATGACGGCATCTCTGTCTAATTGCTCGGAAAGAGAGAGTAGCGAAAGCATCTCGTCATGATACTCCAGATCGCGGATGGATGCAGTTACTACGTCCTTTTTGGGGCTGCCAATCTGCGTAAATTGACCCGGATGCGTAGTAACTCGATGTCCCAACTCAGAGGCCACTTTGCCAGCTGTGGCCAGGACTTCAGATGCGAAACTCAAGCTATAACCATACTCTGCGTGACTGGCAAAAGGGAACATTTCGCTGCTTAGCCTCATAAACTTTATTCCGTACTTGTCGTTCCATCTCAACATTTTAACAATATCTCGAGCGTTGCTAAGTCCAATGTCTTGGATATATCGAAGCCCTCGATTTGGGTCGGCCGGTTTAGACTTATCGGGTCGATTCTTCGTGGGGTGCTCCGGTTGTGATGGGTCTTGAAGAGGATGTCGGTGTTCGAGAATGGAGCTTATGCGGCATGTTCTGGAAGAGAATACTGAAGGGTTTGCTGTGCGAAGGTAGGTGTTTAAACATGCCTAGAAGTTGTTAGCATCCCGACTCCGGAATCGAAAGGCGGAAACTGTACGAGCGGATTTCCATTTCCCATAAGAGGGGGCACTCACATATCCAAGTCGCCCTGTCCACGGCAAAGGCAGTTGGTCACTATTCACGGGAGGCGGACGTTTGGCCCCTCTTTCACCCACCTCGTTTTCTAGTGAAGCGGTTTCTTCAACACTGTTCATGTCGTTGTCGCTTTTTGTTTGCCGTGCTGTACCAGTTGACGTAGCCACGGCGTCCATACACTCTATCGAGGATTTCGTTACATCCTGGCTGCCGTAGGCCTCGTCCTCTTTTGCAGCCAAAGCCTCCAAGTTAGAGGCCTCAATGGCCAGCCGCTGCCTTTTCGCCTCATTCAGCAGCTTGTGTTCCATCTCCCACAAGTTGTGCATGGCACGCTCAACATTCTCCTTGGAGCTTAATCCATCAGTGTACTTGGCCCTGCTTTCATTGGACCCAGCATCAATACCGTCGTCGTCCTTAACCCGGCGAGTGCTCCGCCGCCTGGGTGCTTCTGCTCGCTGAAGTGTTGGGTGCGTCTCACTGTGCTTTCTCTTGGGCGGCATGACTGCAACACGTGAGGCCGAGATCAAGTCTGTGCATACAAGTGCAGCTGGACACAAGTTTCGAAATATGTGCTGCACTATAATCGAAAGGTTGACAGGCGGCATGAAAGGGTGATGTTGATCTGACTGTGTAAGAATAGGAGCATGTTCATCTAGCATGGGCTTGATGTAAACGGTCCAGGCCCATGGCACGGCCAACCTTTGCCATTGTGCAAAGGAGATGTACGTCCATGAGCTAACGGCGAGACATCCCTTGACTAGCAACAGGAAGATAGGAATGGCCAATGATATCACCGTTCCATGGCCGGAGAGGGAGCTCCGATGGATCTGGAGGCAGTTGGCGGGCTTGGAGGGCAGCAAGGCGCGTCATGTGCTTCCCAACACGGACTGTTCCCCGGAAAATGCCACAGTGATGGAAGGCCCTAGTCAGGCTTTATTACTGAACATGAAGACGATGTTGTGTGGCCCAAGATGAGTACTCGATCGCTGGCAAGATTTCTCGATGACGACGGGGACGGTTTGATGAAGTCATGCGGCGGCGATCGATGGTGCGAGACGCGAGCCGTCATAGACCCACTTGCGGGGCCGGGTCGCTTCCCAGCGTGACAGCTCCGAAATCGACGTGTTTGGGCGTTTGGACGTTTGGACGTTTGGCAACGCTGGCGAATGGAAGCCCAGAACGGCGCCCAACTCTCCCCAAAATGGGAACATGCTGTAGCTACGGCCGCGGCCACCTCGATTATGACTTCTTGTCGAAACAAACGCTGGTATATTTGTAGTACTCTACTGCTGCGCGAAACAACGCAACAAATCCATACTCCCTCACAATGCGTCACTAATAACGTAACGTCTCTTCCGTCTAGTCCATTCCGCCGTCCAAGAAGTTTCAGGCCTGATCTAGCAGATCAAGCGATAGGTCCGTTATAGGCTCTTGGCCGGGTTGATGGCATCCGCGGCTAGCAGCGCGCTCCATGACTTGCTGTGGAGGAGTTTCTGGTTCCTAGTACTGATTTCCACAAACCGGACAATGCATTTGATGCCCCAGCCACCAAATTGCTAAACATTCGGAGTGGAACAAGTGTCCGCACTCGTTCAGTTCCGAGACTTCGCCCTCAGAGTTCATCGCACCAAGGAGAGCCGTGGCTGATTGTTCTTCGTCGCTTTGTCTGTAAGGATACGTATTGCGACGCCGACATATGCTAGCACGTTGTATCTGTGGCATATTTCTAAGCCACCAACTCTGTGAGCATCCACCGCCATGTTGAGTTCGACGAACAAGAGGCTTATGACATAGTTTGCTTGATCCCGGGGACAGACGCAGTTAGTCTATGGGTCTCTACCGGACAGGTGTACACTGTACAGGGCCGCGAGCTCACCAGGTTCTACCCGTCACTTGACCAAAGCTCCGTGCGTAAACACTACACCGACCGGCCGACGTGTCAATGGCGATACGACGCACCGATAGCCGAAGATTACGGCGAGCCATCAGGAGATCCGTGGCTCTTGTTGGCGAGTGCAGCCATTCCTGCCGGCGGCGACGCTGCTCCTATAGGCGATACAGTATGTTGACACAAAACAACCTATTCAGAGCTTGATTAGCCTTGTTTGTCTGGGGGCTTCCACGTAATCGTTGAAATTCCGTCGTAACAGTACAGCTGGGTAGACTCACAACAACACTGCCACTAGGACTGCGACAAGAAAGGCAACAATCACCTGCAACGCCACATCAAGGTCTCTTCGAATGAAAGCGAAGATTCGGAGGACTTGAGACATTTTCGATTGTAAAATATATGGTTATTAATAATGATTTAGGTGTTGTACGAAAGTGCTATTGGCGTTGCAAACCGATAGCGAACAATCGGGAAATGAGGAAGAAAATGCCAACACATGTCGTTTCACGGTAACTGTGTGAAATTCTCAAGTTTTTAAGCCATCAGGAAGAAGTGCACTTTAAGAGGCAGCAGGAGCTGCCAGCCGTCCGACATGCAGACTCTTGCGCTCTGGCGTGACGCAAGTGAAGAGATGCATGGAATCCAAATAGTATTATTTCACGCATTGACTCTTTCCGAACAAGGACTTTGCACGTGCGACAAGTGCCGACAGAGACCAGCAGCCAACCACTTGAGCAGGCAGGCCGGGCTGCTCCTTCCCTTCTTGTCCGCAAAGGACATTGACACCTGGCTTTGCCATGTCTGAACTTTCCCGATCGCGTGCACACCTTAAAACTGATGAATTGACCGTATGCATTATTGGCCGCGTTATTTTTTTGTGTTACGGTTACGACCAGACCCCGGTGCCATCAATGCTACCCATGGCACATCAACAAATCGTGTTGTGTGACGCTACCCGCAACTGTCGTGTCCCCAATGCCGACTATACACACATTACCTAGGTACGGAGCACCGGACATCTTTGACGACTACATGACGCTTCCGCCTCGACTAAGCAAGACACGTGTTTAGGCTGTGAGAACGATGAGCACAGGCTCTTTCGCTCCCGCGACGTCGTGTGGTTCGGTGTCCTCACGAAAATCTGCCCAACCGTGGGTATGTTAGGGACTTGGCTACCAACGACATCACAACCAGCAGTTGCGCTATACCCAGCGGTTGAAGACCATTTACCGACATGCCGTATCCGTGCTCTCCCTCCGGTTCGGCCAAGCCTTATGCAAGAATGGGTGATTCTCTCATTTGAGAGGACTGGATGGCAAGGGCTACTTGATTACTAACCACATTACACGCTGTGAGTGCCGATGACTGCCAACAGGTCCGGCGCTTCAGACAGAGAGTTGGCTGAAAAGAGTCGGTGTGTTGACTAACAAATAATGCAAGATAGACTTTGTCAAGAAAGCTGGTGAGGTTTGCGAGGTGCATGATAGCGCATCTTCCTGACTCGCGGGATGGGGGAACTGAAGAGCCGTTTCCCCAGATGACGAACAACCATATCCATGCGATAGTTGGCAGTCGTACTACGTAGTAGTACTACATACAATCAAGTTGAGCCCCAAGCAGTCATGTCACAGCCAACGGCCCGAGCACAACTTGTGGTCATGAATATCTCCGCATACAATCTGTCACGCCGTCGCTTCGACAACGAATACTAGCAACTGTACTGCACAGGGAGGAGACACAACCGGCTGTTGTACCAAGGGGCTAGCTCAGAGTCAACCTGTGGTTTCTGTTACAAGTGCTTTCTAGGTGCTTTCTGGGGCTTCGAAGAAGGTTTTAAAACACCAAGAGTCGGTTAAACCAAGTTTCTCGCTTGCTCTCACGACCAACAGCCCAAGAGCCCAACGCCGAAAAGCCGAGGACGAGCAAAGCCACCCGCAGACACACACACACACACACGCACACACACCCGCAAGCCATCGCCACCATAATCCACCCGCATGGCCACTAGACATCTAGAGCCCGAAGGATAGTGACCCATAGGATCCAGAAATCTCGACTCCAGGTCCCATCCGTCAGGAATTTGAGGCGCAGCCCATAACGCACTTATCGCTTGGCGCCAAACGGCTTGGCGAAAATCTCCTAGCGTCTGGATATGCTTATTCGTTATCAGTGGTCCGCCAAGACCAACTGGACCCAGTTCGTAAACCATGACACAGTGTCCAGGATGCCAGTGCTCTCGCTTACATTAGCAACATGCAGCTGGAGGGCGCGGTAGTTGCAGATGCGTTGGGAGTCGTCATGGCGAGTTGCGAGCAATTATCAAGCATCATGGCATAAACTGCATTGGGACTGTGAGGTTTTTCTGCATTGGGATTTTACCGCTCGTGACTGTTGGGCATCCGGTATAAACGAAAACAAACTCAGCCCTGACCCCGGATTTGCTGAGGACCCAAGTCCATCATCATCTTATCTTACTCGTCTCTGCTGACTTGACAGGAACTAGAAAGGAATAATGAAAAACAGGCGCTCACAACGTTTGAAATTCCAAATTCAGCTACGGAAAACCTAAAATAGATGCGACATTCAGCCTGAATGAAATGCTATCACGGGTTCAAAGACGGTAAGCAAGTGCCGATTCTTTCATTCGGAAGAAACTAGACGTATTGCATACGCCCAGCCAATTACCATTGGATCTAACAGCTCGGCACTCTGCCCTGGTCCCAGCAATATAACCCCGCCATTGCTAGTGTTCGGCGGAACCTTCGTAAGACAATGCGGTGTTCCTGCACGATTGTGCGACTTACGATACACATCTCAAACATAACCACAAACCACAACACTTGCTCCGAGAACACCAGTATCGCAACGTCGAAACATCTTGCAAACTGTGCAGAGTGGCGGCGATCCTAATGCTAATAATAGCCCAAATTGCCTCCAGCTCAAGTCTATTCTGTGTCAACTAGAGTTTTATGCTGGAGGGTCGGGTGGACTGTGTCACACTGTATTACTCCATACCATCCGTCACCAAAACCTTGACCATGCCCGAGTTTGCCAAGACTGACGAATTGACGCTATTCCCTTCCCACCAGGGATGGAGTCTCCGACCGGGTCTGTTTCTGGGTGGTCAAAGGCTGACATTTGGCATTGAGCACTTCTCTCATCGTCAATTCGTCAATCTGTTCGCCAGGTCACCCACCATGGAATCTTCAACCTAAAAGGACTTGCGTCCCGCCTGATCTTGGCTCTGTTGGCTCTCCCTTATTCATCCCTCTTGTTACTTGTGCGATTCTTGGTATTGCAGTAGCAGCCCTGCAAAGCAGTTGATTGGACTGTATTGCGTGGTGCCGACTTGAAGCAACTACCTGGTTCTCTATTTGCAAAGAACAACAAAACCACACTGTCAAGCACGAAAAGATCTGAGAATCCGTTACTTTGTTCGCATCATGGCGGCTAAGGAAAAAGATGATGTGCAGGCCCATGTGTCTGGGCAAGCAAACAAGCCCATGACCGCCCCTGCCCATGCCTTGACAATCGAAGAGGTTGTTCATCAGCTCCAAGCCAACGTTGAGGCTGGTCTTAGCACCGATGAAGCCAAGAGACGCCTCGAGGAACATGGTCGCAACGAATTCGGCGAGCAGGACGGCGTCCAGCCTCTAAAGATCTTTATCGGGCAAATCGCCAATGCACTGACGCTTGTACTTATCCTGGCTATGGCTGCCTCGTTTGGAATTCAGTCCTGGATTGAAGGTGGCGTCATTTCTGCCGTCATCATTCTCAACATCGTCGTGGGTTTCTTCCAAGAATTCAAGGCCGCCAAGACCATGGACTCTCTTCGGTCACTTAGCTCGCCAACTGCTCAAGCCATTCGAAATGGCGACAATGAGACTGTTGTTACAGCCGAAATCGTTCCCGGCGACATGGTTGAACTGAAGACGGGCGACACTATTCCTGCCGACATCCGTCTCATTGAGGCAGTCAACTTTGAGACCAACGAGGCTTTGCTCACTGGAGAATCACTCCCCGTTCGCAAGGAACCCGTCCCAACCTACGCTGATGATACCGGACCAGGCGATCGCCTCAACGTTGCCTACAGTTCATCAACCGTAACCAAGGGACGAGCGCGCGGTGTTGTATTTGCCACCGGCCTTTACACCGAAATCGGTCAGATTGCTGCTGCTCTTCGTGGCAAGAGTTCCCGTCGACGAGAGCCTAAGCGTCGGGAGGACGGCACTACCAGCTTCGGTCGCTGGCTGCAGGCATGGTCTCTCACATTCTCTGATGCTGTGGGTCGCTTCCTCGGCGTGAATGTTGGTACTCCCCTTCAGAAGAAGCTCTCTAAGCTTGCCTTACTCCTCCTCGGCACTGCAATCATCTGCGCTATCATTGTTCTCGGTGCCAACAGATTTGACGCCAAGCAAGAGGTCATCATCTATGCTGTCGCAACTGGCTTGTCCATGATCCCCGCGTCACTGGTCGTTGTTCTTACCATCACCATGGCTGCTGGTACGAAACGAATGGTCCAGCGTCACGTCATTGTGCGCAACTTGAAGAGCCTTGAGGCTCTTGGTGCGGTTTCTAGTAAGCGTCACACCCCGATATATTCCGTCAATCGCTTAACTTGCCCGTAGATATCTGTTCCGACAAGACTGGGACCCTTACCCAGGGTACCATGATTGTCAAGAAGGCGTGGATTCCCGGTCGTGGGACATACTCCGTCGGCACCACCAGCGAACCGTTTAACCCGACAGTCGGACAGCTCGGCCTCAAACTTGCCCAGCCCAAGGACATCAACTTTCGCGGCAATGACGCTGATGGTGAGCCTATTGATGGTACTGAAGCTGTTACTAAAGATGCCACGCTCAGGGAGTATCTCAACGTTGCCTCGCTTGCCAATCTCGCCACTGTAAACCAGGTGAATGGCGAGTGGCATGGCCGCGGTGACCCTACAGAGATTGCGATGCAAGTGTTTGCCTCACGATTTGACTGGAATCGCCTTCGCCTTTCCACAGGCGAAAAAGCCCAGTGGCAACAAGTTGCCGAGTTCCCATTCGACTCTGATGTGAAGAAGATGTCTGTCATTTTCGAGAACAAGGAAACCAATAAGCAGTGGCTTTTCACAAAGGGTGCCGTTGAACGCCTTGTGAATTCCTGCCCGCGATACGCGGTAGGTGACGAGATACAAGATCTCACCGAGGATATTAAGGAAGATGTGCTCAGGAACATGGAGGCCATGGCCCGCCTCGGCCTTCGTGTCTTGGCTCTGGCTAGCCGAACTGACATTCGTCACGTCAAGGACAACGAGGCTGAGTTGGAGCGTGGCGATTTTGAGCAAGATCTAATCTTCCGTGGTCTCATCGGTCTATATGACCCTCCACGCCCAGAGTCAGCCTCTTCTGTGCAAAAATGCCATGAAGCCGGTATCAGCGTGCACATGTTGACTGGTGACCACCCCGAGACTGCCCGTGCCATTGCCCTCGAAGTCGGGATTCTACCATCCAAGATGAACGAGATTGCTACAGATGTTGCCAAGACTATGGTCATGGCCGCTTCTGATTTCGACAGACTAACTGACCAGGAAATTGACGAGCTCCCCCTTCTCCCTCTCGTCGTGGCACGATGTGCCCCTCAGACCAAAGTTCGCATGATTGAGGCTCTTCATCGTCGAAAGCGCTTTGTTGCCATGACCGGCGATGGTGTCAATGATTCGCCTAGCTTAAAGCGTGCTGATGTCGGTATCGCAATGGGCCAAGCCGGCTCTGACGTTGCCAAGGAGGCATCCGATATTGTGTTGACGGATGACAACTTTGCCTCTATCCTTAACGCTGTTGAAGAAGGCCGACGCATGTTTGATAATATTCAAAAGTTTATTCTTCATGTCTTGGCGGAAAATATTGCCCAAGCATGCACTCTTTTGGTCGGTCTCGCCTTCAAGGACAGGCGTGGTATTTCTGTGTTCCCTCTGGCCCCCGTGGAGATCCTCTGGATCATCATGATCACCTCTGGCATGCCTGACATGGGTCTCGGATTCGAGGTTGCCGCCCCTGATATCATGCAACGACCGCCACAAAACGTAAGTCACCGCACAAACCGTATTGGCAAGCGCGTCTCCTTTTGGAAACACGATGGCTAACACTCCCCAAGTTGAAGCAAGGTGTCTTTACACCCGAACTTTTGGTCGATATGGTTGTCTACGGTCTCTGGATGTCTGCCCTCTGCCTCGCCTCCTTCGTCCTTGTTCTTTACGGTTTTGGCAACGGCGCTGCTGACCTCGGAGACAACTGCAACAACCAATTCTCCGAAGATTGCAGGGTTGTCTTCCGCGCTCGCTCCACGACCTTTGCCTGCCTGACCTGGTTTGCCCTCTTCCTGGCCTGGGAAATGGTCAACATGCGCCGATCCTTCTTTCGCATGCAACCGAAGAGCAAGCGATACTTCACCCAATGGATCATTGACGCCTGGCGCAACCAGTTCCTGTTCTGGGCTATCGTCGCAGGCTTTGTCACCATGTTCCCCATCATCTATATTCCTGGCCTGAACACAGTCGTCTTCAAGCACGCGGGTATTAGCTGGGAATGGGGCATTGTCTTTGTTGAGGCTTTCCTCTTTTTCTTGGGAATCGAGGCATGGAAGTGGGCCAAGAGAGTATACTACCGCCGTCAAGCGAGAAAGGCCTCGGACATAAAGGCTGATCTGGAGACTCGCACCTTTGGTCACTACTTCACTGGTGGTAACTTGAGTAGCGAAGATGAAGACGAGTCCAATTTTGACAGCGAAGCGAACACTGAGGCGAGGGGTCGTCATACCGGCGCCAACGGGGAAAAGGAAGCTTTCTGACATGAGGAAGAACCGGGAAGGTTCAACATGTTTACTGCTTGTTTCATCTGCAGTGGGGTTGTGCAAATGCCAGCCAACCTGTCCTTTGTGATGAGTGCCCTACTTGGCTCACCGAGTCAAGCAGAGCTGGCGAAGAAGATGCTTTACGGTAAGTGTATGTCGTTGCGTGTGAAAAAGAAAGTATGTTACATTGAGGGGTTGCCCACAGGGCTTTGTAGGAAAGGTGAGCTAGGTCTGGTTCCTAGACCCAAGTCGTACCTTGGCCAGAGGCCTCGTATTGCCAAGGCTGTCAAAAATATGCAAAGTAGAAGATGGCGTACAGTAAAAGTAGATAGAATAGGTCGTTTAGACTATCCAAAGATAGGAATTTTATGGCTATGTTGTGCAGATTTTCCGAGATTATGAAATCCAAAAAAATCGTGAAAACACCAACGAAGTAGATAAAGCTAAGGGTGACCTAGAGAAGAAGGCTGAAAAAAGGTGCCAAGATAAAGAAAGCGAGGTTGCGTACCTTTTCCCTCTCTTTATTTTGGCAGCTTTGTCCGTCTTCTTTTCCACGTGACGCGTAGCTTGAATTACTTTGTTGTTTTTCACGATTAATTTGATTCAGCCGAGCCTTTTGTTTAGCAAGAAAAGCTTCCTCGTGAATATCGGCTGCAGTATATCGTCAAATTGAGCTTCTCTTTCCGCCGTGAAAATTGACGTGATGTTTCCAACAACTCGGTGCTAGCATTGAAAATTTGCCGTGCGACGGACTTGATTGCTTTGGCCGATGTCAGCAAGTGCTTCCGGAGCTTAGTAAAACCGAGGTTTTGCGAGTAGCTGGTTTCGTGGACGGTGACTTAGTTATAATAGGGCTTTTTATTGTTGGAAGATGGGTGATAATGAGCGACGGGAAAGAAAATCAGGGATTGCCGACGAGCAGAGACCTTATTATCGGATATTGAGTAGAGCGTTGTGTCCCTCTTAAGAGAAATGATAGTAGAAGCACGATGCAAGTATCCTGCTTATTCGGTTATTTCAAGTTTTTGGGGTGAAACTCTATTTTAGATGTAAAAACCGAGGCCGGCGCGCGGTGATGAATCGTTAATCCGCTCCCTTCTGACGCATCACGATGCGGGTGTTTATAGTAGGGACTGCCCAGGTTTCGCGCACTCTAAGCTATCATAGAACAGATGCGACGCATCGTGACTAAATCTTAGTTGCTGCCAATGAAAGTGTAAGATAGAATGGTGAATGTTCTGACAGCGCAATAACAGAAACGCGTCCCTAGAAGAAGACGTATCGGAACTTACATTCGAGACTAGCCCCAAATATCTCATGGAACTAGAGATTCGGGTATCACTGGTTGGGGGCTTACAAGATGCGAGATGCGAATGCCGACATGACAATGCTACCCCATGCTGATAGGGCTACTAAGCTGTCTGGAGTTGATGTGTCAGGAATGTTCGTCCGAAATATAGGCCTTGTGGGGAGGTTGCCTACCAGTTCGAGAATGAGGCCGAATCATAGGACCTCGGACAAAACGGTCTAGTACTCCGTAGTCAGTATCTCTTGGTCTGACCATCCCTCGTGGTCCCCTTCCGGGGAAGTCGGAATCGAAGCACCATGCTGGAGTCAACCCGGATTACCTTAATAGTTCTGCATGTGTCCTACCACGCTAGTGCTGCGCCATGCATGCAGCAGCATGGTCATTCAGCTCGAATGTGCAACCACTAGTAGGCTATAATCTGTTTGACAAGGCCTATTACCTCCTTGAGTATTCCATGTTGTGGCTGAGCTTGCGACGAAAGTTGTCTCAGAGGCAGCTCGGGGACAGCAATATTGGCGGATTTTAGTCCTCATCGTCATCCTTTTCAGTGGATATTGTTTGGCTGATATCGGCCAACGACTGACCATCGAAGACTGTGACCTCTGCCGTCCATGTGCATAACACAGCGGCATCAGATATAGCCACACCGGAAATGGGTGTTGGTCGAAAAAGCGATGCTAACGGGCAAAGTCAACACCTAACCATCATTTCTTAGTGGATATGTGTCTCGATAACTGGGGCGCCTACCAAACCGAGAGACGACAAGAAACTGCCGAGTATGGGCCGGTCGTTGTAGATCATTTCAACACTGTCCGTTGTTGATCGCACGGATGTCGAGGCTCCCGGGTTGAAGTTCTGTCTCCTTTGCCAGAACACGGAAATGTAAGCGCAGTCATTATGACTCCAGGCCGTGCGTAGTTCAAACAAGGATGCATTGCTAACCCCGGATAGTTTTGAGTTTCCGGACGTGGTGGAAAATCCATGCTGTAGTGGCGCGTCTGGCTTTCGTTCCAGAACATATTATGGATGGCCACGTGCTCTTTGGACAACAGACGATGAGTCTCATGTTGATTGATATCGCCTGCTAGGCAGTGCGTGAACAGGTTTTTGATGGCTGACGATGGGTGAATCGAACAGTTGGATGGAGGACCGTGCTTTGTGGCGCTTGGCACCCCGGTTTGCCGTCACGGAACAGACCTTGTCGATCTGGGCCCAGGACGCCTAACACCAAACAAGCATAGGGCTGCCTACCTGCTGCCACATGTGCCACAGGTACCAGGTTGTCTAGTAGTGCAAACTTTTGACGCTGCCCTGTTTCCAAGCATGCTGCGCCAAGGGCGGCGATGATGGTGGTTTCGAACAAATGAGCCAAAAGTTGGATCGGTGGGTGGCTTATGGGGAGTTGTGCTGGGAAGAAACAGCAAAGGGCTCAAGGCAGGAGCCAAAAACATTTGAATGTCGAACCTTCCTTCCCTCGCAGTCGCACGTCCCCCACAAGCGAAGACAGTGAGCAAACGCACTCGGTGCTTGGGACGACAACCTTGACCTCAGCACCTGATAACTCTATGCGACAAGCTCATGCCAACCAATTCGATGGAGTCTCGGACCGATGATGCATGAGTGTGGTGAGAATATGCAAAACCCCACGCAAGCAGAGTCCATCTGCCGCCTCGATCCAGCCAAGAGCAGTCGCCGTTGTCACTGTATGTGCATCGATCCCTACTTGTCTTAGAGTCGCCGTGCCGCCACCGTTTGACCGTTGCCTACCACCAGAATTGCAAGCCACTGAACGCAAGTACGGAGTACCAAGTGGTGGCTTAAACCCCTGGCACTACTATTGACTCCGTACGGAGTACATACATGCGAAGTGCGTGCTTAAATCGTCTCCCAACGTTTCAACAGCCTGTGCGTTAGACGCGGGAACATGGCCCGAATCTCAACCTTCTCTACCACCTTGACCAAAGAACCGAACAACAGACTACTTGCTCACGACTCGGCCGAGACCGACCAATCCTGCGTCAACGATCGATACGGCAATCGAGAGCCTCGAGCTCGCAAGCTTTTCTCTGAGGAGTCATATGGGTCCTATCGAGACGTACGATACCTTATCCACTGAACCCCATCCGCCAAAAGCAACCACTAAAGGCAACGGTAATATCCGCTGCTTGACCTTCACACACTTTTGCTGTGGCATTATGTTTCTGGACAGGGTGATGGGGAGCCGCATCCATGTTACCAGAAAGCGTGGTGGGTGATGGAAAAGTATTGGCTGATGACCACGAATTACTGGAATGGCTGGATCGATAACTTCCCTCACGCCGCACGTCTGTTCAAAGAGCAAAATAGTCCGTGGCTCAGGTGAAGTTGCCTTAAAAATTGAGAGGCGGAAGTGGCCGACGCGGCGGGCTCGCCTGAGCAGCCTCGACCTGATCCCAGCCCGTCCCGTGCGGGCTCGTTTGACCACCAGCAGCCTCATGGTCGGCGACCAGACAAGTGCCGGCAACATCACGACACCGACAGGGGATCAAAGCCGCCACCGAGTTTGTTTCGCGGCTGCAGAGTATCAGAACCCAGTACCAGTACCATGAACTTTATTTCCAGTGGTTCCAGATAGTCGCAAGGATGCCAGGCATTGCCCAGGAGAATATCCACGGGCGTTTCTGCTGCCATGATTCACCTCTTCTTGGTTCACTGAGCAAGTTTGACTCCATTTGCCCATCCACCACCACGAAGAGCTCCACAGGCCTCACGCCAGAGTCCCTCGCTCCCGTGTCCGGGTTGTGGGCCAGTAAATCCTCATCTTCTTCGGCTTTTCAGTCATTGTCTCCACACCACGCTCATGCCACCCCATTGTCGTTGCGACCCTCCAACTAGACGAATTCTCTCTACCCCCTGGCCATCGTGTTGAGTACGGAGGACTGCTTACTGCTGGGCACAACGAGCTGGAATGGCCCCAAAAAAGGCTTAGAGGTAGAAAAAAAACCAAGCGGGCTCGCACACCACATGAGTAGTTTGGTCTTTCGGAATAAGCACGGGATCCCACATCCTACTTGACCACTTGGACATTTGGCTGGACATTGCAGTTACAGCCAGAGACGTGATCAGTCGTCTTTTGGACTCAGTGTCAATCTTACATCTGCTGGGGTAATTGAGATATCACAAGAACCTGCAAGTCTGTGTCTCTGGCTGGTGCTTGAGCGCCGCGGGGACCTCTATCGCGTCTTTGCTCTTCTCAGCCTTGCCATAGTACCACTAAACGGCTTCCGTCCATAACCGTCGCCAAGCACGGCTGACTATTCGATTTCACCTCAGGCTGCTTGGCAGGCTACAGCAACAGACAGTATTCGAGAGCTTCAGGGTTCTTTTGAGGTGGCACCTCCTCTGTCCCCTGCGGCCACTGACAGCCCTGGTCACTGAATCCTTTTCAACGATCTCAGTTGGCTCCTCATTTATCCATGAGTCTCGGCTACCGCCCGCGCCCCGTTGTTGCGTAGCGTTGAGCAGTCCTGCTTTGTCAATCATCCATCTGTTTCGCGCGACCTGCTTGCTCACTCAACATCACTTTCCTCCTTTCCAAAAGTGGTAGGACCAGGCCGGAACAGAGGCCACAGTCTCGCCGAGCCGTTCCTCCGTGAGAGCGCCTGCTCGCTTTTAAGGGCATCGAGATTTGACATCTGTCAGCACACAGCTTATGAAAGGAGGCCGGGTGAACGGACATTGTGGAAGGCTTGCGGGACTTTCATCAGCAATACGGTGCCGGCGCAGTCGGATTGCAACCACGAAGACACCATTTACCTGATAATCGAAGAGCGGAATCTTGGAATCTTGCCCTTTTCCCTCAACCATACTTCTTGACGAAACTGACCCTATAGAGTGAGTGGCGTAGTTTAATCCGCCTCTGTCCTTCATCTACGGGCCATCTCACAGGGGAGGAATGCCCCATATGCGAGAAGTCAAGACCTGCGACAGATGTCGCCATTTTAAGAGGCGATGCGATCTCGTCAAGCCTTCATGTACCCGATGCGTTCAAGCAGGAGTTCGGTGTAGTTTCGATGTGGCAGGAACGACCGCGCCTGGGTCCGACGGCTCAACAGCGCCTTCATCGGTGCTGACGAACAACACTGTCGGATATGCGCGAGTACCAACTTCAGGGTCAATCAACTCTTCAGCATCCCCATCGAATCCAACTATGCAAACGCCAGGATCCATGCTAGTTACACGAGACACGTCCGCCAGCTCGCCCGCTGGTGGCCCTTCGCCTGCCTCATCCGTATCACAGAACCATGGTGGAGTAGCAGTGAACGGCTTGATTTCACCAACGACAACTGTTGAGAGCCCGGAACCGAACCAGATCATCACCACGGACTCCACGCCAGCTCAAAATTCTACGGAAGACACTGCCAGCAATCAAGAGGGTCAACGGATTGTTCGCAAGCGTAAGCGCAACTGCCTTAGCTGTCTCCGCTGTCATCGTCTCAAGGTCAAATGCGATAAGGAGCTTCCCTGTGGACGATGCAAGTCTAGCGGCAATGGACGAGAGTGCTACTACAGTTATAACAAAGGACCGAATGGCGGCAAATTTCCTTGCCCTACTGCCCCTGCGGGGGGGCCAATAGACCCGGACAGCAAGAAGCCCCAGTTGGCGCCATGGCAGATAACTCACAAAGTCCGAGGATCGAGCCATTGGCGAGAATTGATGGCTAGGGTATGTTTTTATCCCAATGTCCATGCCTTATATCGAGGGCCTTCGACCCAGTTCTGGCTGTGAACACTGCTAACGCCATTTCCTTTTCGCTCCAGATCGGATCACTCACCCCAATATCACAGTCTCCCCTTGCTAAAATTCTGGAGGGTGTAGCTACAAATGCCTGTTTAGCAAATTTCTCTTTGCCAGGAAATTTCCCATTTGGAACTCCCGGCGCCACAAAATATTATGCTCGTGATACTATCACCAGACTCATATCTGGCGAAAAGGATAATGTTGAGGAATACCTAGGCCGATATGTGGATATGCTGGATGTTGTCAATCCCGTCTTGGACTTGTCAACGTTTCAAGAGGAAGTCCACCGTTACTGGCAAGATCCAAATGCTGTCGGATTATGCTGGCTAGCGCAATTCCTCATGGTCCTGGGCCTCGGCTGCTTCACATCCGGAACCGATCCTCCCATTGCCATAGAGTTTATGATGGCCGCCGAGGCATGCATCATGCAAACGCCATTCATGTTCCGCCCCACGATCAGTACGATTAGGGCATTTACGCTCATGGTTGTAGCCAAGCAGATTTGCAACGCAACATGTTGGGCCATGGATTCGTCCTACACGCTCATGGGCCATTTGGTTCGCCTTGCCTTCATTCTTGGTCTACCGCAAGAACGTAACGACAACGACGAAGAACTACGGGACCCAGTGGAAAAGGAGATACGGCGGAAGCTGTGGCTGACAATTCTGTACCTTGACATCAAAGTGTCCATGTGCACGGGAATGCCTCCATTGACCCGGCCGGAAGAGTTGGGCGGTCTCAAAAATATGCCACATTGGCGTGCCCCGGACAGCCTTCAGATGGTCCTCTATCAGGGTCTTCCCGTTGTACTCAATATCCTTGCGCAGATGAATTCGAAACGAGACCCCATATCCTACCCCGATGTTCTGCGGTACAATGCCCAGCTCCGAGAGCTGATGGGACACGCCAATCGCGTTTGCCAAGCGCCTCTACAGCGCATTACTATCGACATATTCCTCAGGCGGTGCCTCATGGTCATGCATCGACCATTTGCTCTTCACGCGGATGGACCTACCATGTTTCCGGAATCGTACTGGTCATCCTTGGAGTGCTCACTCGCCTTGTTGTTTCACTACCGCGAGCTGTGGGACCCAGAAACTCCTCAACCACTTGATTTGGTCGGACGGCCATTTGTACTTGATATCTTCTCGGCAACCTTGACCACTTGTGTACACATGCTACGCCAAGATGCTCCACTAAGCGAGGCGGCTGCTACTGGATGTCTTATACCTCCTCGACAGCTCATCCTCGAGACCCTTGTTAGCTGCGTTGACATTTGGGCTGGGGAGCAGGAAAAGAGCGTGTGTTGGCGGACGGGATACCACATCTTGAAAGCTCTCATGGTGATACTAGATGCTCCCGGAGCAAGGGCCGAGTCCCCAGAGGCTGGACAAACTCAATGATGTATCTGCCGCCGATTTCAGAGTAAGCTGCGCGTACGGATTCAACACTACGCAATGGCGCTGTTTCAGCTACCATGAACGGATCTTGCCGAAAGGCTATGATTGTACGTCTCGCATCACGTAATTTTGATATGAAGGAACATGATCACTAGTTGGGCTCAGAAACTATTAAGAGGAGGGACCGTATATGGTTATCATTTCGATTTTATGGGGCCTTTGTTTATGAGACCCTGACACATGCTGCATCTATTGTTGGAGCAGGCCTATTTGTTTTGTCTTGTCTTTTTTTTGGGGGGGGGCTTAAGTTGGGGGGCGGTGTTGGTCGCCCAGGATGTAAACCAAGAAGTCTCACTTCCTGGTCCTGGCTGGTGGGCTTGATGCTTGCAGATACCACTTCGGCGTTGTTATTGGCGAATACCATACTACGACACTTTTCCTTGTTCATGGACCGAGCCATTTCATTTTCTTGTAAATCTCGATTGACTGCTCCGTACCTGTGGTTCCGGCGGCATTCGCGGGAAGCTCACCTTATTCTTGGACGCCCGAGTCACGGCATCGGCCGATTCTTAGTGTCGTTTCCTACAAGCGGGACGCGGGACCAAAGGGTCGATTGAACAACTTCAACTTGACCATGTACGATGATGCAAGAAAAATGACCAACTCGTGCAAAAGTGACTTTGTGTTATCCCACTCATGTGCCGTCACAAACCGCTGCCTCTTAGATTCGACGCATGTTTATCGGTAGTACAGAGCACTGCTATGTACTCGGCACACTTGATAATGCAGTTGTTTGGTTTCTTTCTTGAACAAGGGTTTTGTTTTGAAACACGCCCAGGGAGGGTTGACTCGAGGCCCTGTCTTTTGCTAATCGCTTCAGGAAGCCAAGCAGGTTGTGGGCCGGGTTGTTTACTCAACGAGCCCGAGCCAAGGCATAAAGATACTAAAGATAGAGTCTGGTCAGTGGGCAACGGGGATTTTCAAGAAACTTGGCGTTTCCATCCGATGACTAATGTCGAGTTGGTTACACTACCGGGCTGGGTGCGCGGATGCGGCAAATGTAGTAGTTTACACGGAATCATGCAGGTCGGCGTGGTCTGGTTCGATATCCAAGCATTCGGTAGCTTGGGCGCATTGTCGGTGTTGCATTTTCGTGGCGCCACATGGTTTGTACCAACATGCGTGTCGACTCTGCGTGCTTGCATGGTAGTGCTACCATTTGTTGCAACGGCAGATTGTTGACGGGATGGACACTTGGCGCCTTGAGCAACCCTGGTATACTCCGTAGAGGACCCTGAATCGACTGTTGGCTGTTGTCGGGTTCGTGCATGCTTGGGACGCGCACGGCAGTTTATTGAGGACATGGGCGTTTTGACACGACGAGTTGTCACCGAGTTTCGAACAGTGGTCTATGGTTGGGGAGACGCACCGGCAATGCAGGAAGGGTGTGGGAGTACGAAGCAGTAAGCAGGCGCTGGGATTCTGTGAGGTCACGTTTGTGCATCAGGTTGGCTACAGAGAAGAAGTAGTACTCCGAACATGAAAGAGACGGTCAATGGTTCCTGCGTGACCATGATCGCGTGGAGTCGCTTTGGCATGCAACGTGCAGCGCATGGAACGACTGGATGTTGGATGCCTCGGGCGGAGACTTGGAATGTCAAGTGTCAACATACATTGAACATCAATGATGGTGCCACGCGCCACCCTCCCCGCGCCACCCTCGCAAGCCACGCCGCAAGCGTCTGGTCTGTGCCTTCTGAACATACCCGGTACTCCGAATCATGATGGGCTGTCAAGAGGCCAACAGTAGTTTGACAGAGCTCAATGCTCCTTGTTCACTCGAGGGCACCGTGTGAGCGCGTCATCTGGAGCCATCGATCTCGTCCCTGTCATTAGCATTAGAGTCGGCATTTGCATCAGTTCAATACCTGTTCGAAGAGCTCACTCACGTCAGCGACGACCCTCGCTTCCCACCACCCACCCCGTGCGAAAACGCCGCTGCCCCGCCTCAAAACCCCCTCTTGCCCAGCATTTCCGTGTCGTGTGCCCCAGTTTCTTGATTGACACTTCAATGTTCCCAACCTCAGTCGCCTGCAACGCGTTAAACAACACCGTCAAATCACGAGCGTAGGGCATCTCTTCTGGCTTATACCTCTCGCACCTCGTGCCCTCTCGTCTCGCCTGCGACAGCTTCATCTTCCAAGTCACCTGCCGCTTGGGCGTCGGCGACGATCAGTTGAACAACGCCTGCCACACTCCCGTTTCAAATGCCATTAGCCATCACAATAGAGTCGACCAAACCACATTTATCTAGACTGCTAAAGCACCCATCACCATGACTTCTACAGTAGACCCGGCCCCAGTTCATTCTCCTCCAGGACATGATGCCCAGCGTCCGAGAGGTAAGCCGTGCCGGTGCAAGACTCACGTCAAACGGCTTCGTTAACAAACCACCACAGGCATCCTAAAGCATACTTCGAGCCATTCTCACACCTCCCCGCCGTCGGCTACGTCTCCCCGCCAAGGTCGCGAGCGGTCCATGTCCGGCAAAGAAATCACCCTTGCCAACACCCAAATCAACGCTGGCCATCGACGCTCCTCCTCCTCTGCTACCAGACCATTTGGCTCGCGCCGCTCCTCCACCCACGACCCCGACGGCCAAGCCGAGTCGTCGCAGCGTCTCAAGTGGGACGAGGCAAACCTGTACCTGACGGAGCAGGAGCGCACTTCTACTATGAAAATCACCGAGCCCAAGACTCCCTATGCCAAACACTACGACCCGGCCGAGGACCCATCCGACGATGAGGATTTTATGGAGGGTGGTGGTCTTCGGCGCAAAATTTCAGGTCCGGGCGGTGAAGATGACATTCCGGGCCTCAGCCTGGGCGATCCGGAGGAAGAGATTCCAGAAACAGACGTTCCGCCACATGCGCGCCAACCCTCCGAAAAGACGGTTCATGTGGATGATCAAGATGCCACCCCCTCCGCCGAAGAGGAACTGGTGGGAATTTCGCCAGAGGAACGTGAAAAGCACCGTCAGTTTGAGGCCGCGCGCAAGAAGCACTACGACATGCACAACGTCGCACAACTCCTCGGCGCGCCGGAATCCATCCCTGACGACGAAGACGAAGACGACGACCAGGAGATGCCCCCAGTGCCTCCACTGCCGAATGGCTCACATTAACAGTCGGAGATTGCGAAAGATCATGAGGCGCAGGTCCGCCAAAGTGGCAGCAAATGCCATTGTTGAAGAAAAGGAACTGGCTCCAGGGGTGTTGTTGCCCGTTTTATCTGCTACTGCACGAAGTTTGAGCTGGATGTCGCTGCCGTCACTAGGCTCCTACGTTTCCTCTACTGGACAACCAGAAGAAGGCACGTCACCCAGACAAACTGGCGCACCACCATCTTTGCCCACGGCCTTGGCCTCGTCGCCGACCTTTCTCCGCCGACTATCGTTATCTTACATGCACAGCACGGTTTCACGGACACGCCCCGAAGAAGCCGACATCTCACCCAAAACCTCACCGCCCATACTGGAACCAACATCCCCGGGACTAAGCTTTCTTTCCCTACCATCCTTGCGCAGTCTGACCTCTTCAAAGCCCCCGGAAGAAGACGAAAAGCAATCGCCAGATATTGCAATCATCCCCCCCTCGACATCTGGCTCATCTGGGTCAGCCAGTAAACGAAACAGGTTACAAAAACGAAGACCTACCTTCAAGAGAAGACGCAACCGGATTTTGATTTATATCTTCCCTTTTGTCATCAAGCGGCGACGGGCCATGCGAGATGTGGGGACGCAGACCGATCCCCTTCCTGTCAAGGCGTCGTCGAAACGGAGGAGTTTTTTGTTTGGACTGGGCTTACGAAGCCCCTGAAAGGGAAAGAGTGACATGTATCTATAGAATTTCTTATGGTAGCTTTACGATCGTTTACGACTTTCCAAGTGCGACAAGTCGCTGGGAACATGGCTGGCATAATTTGCGTGTTATTTTCTTTGTCCAAGTTGATAACAGTCTACCGTCACCGTCATATCACGTGTATGGGCACCTGCATATACATCTTTGTAAATAGTCTAGCGTTTTATCCAGCCCGCTTGCGTGTGCATGGATACTTGGTTCATGTTTGTGTAAAACATTTTTATATGATTTGTCCTGTCATTCCTGCATGTGTCCTGATCTCCCCCAAAGCTTTCATAGTAACCCCTTGCGCGCAAGCTCAATCTTTCTCGCTGCCTCGCCAGGCTTGAACCCGCCCTTTGAAACGCAGACCTTCTTGCCCTCGCCCAGCTCGAATTTCTCCTCGTAGGCGTCCCATGCGCAGGGGCAGTGGTGCGGGAAGTGCACGCAGGCGAGGGTGTCGGGGCAGAGGTAATTGTCGCAGTGGGCTAGTAAGAATCAGCACATTATTCCAAGGGAGTCCAGAAAAAAAAAACACTTTGGAATTCTGGCTATTTTAGGGGTTGCGGAAAACGTACATTGTTCGAATTGTGATCTGTAGTGTCCTGCGTCGCTGGGGTTGTTCCGCTGCTGGTGCTGGTGCTGGTGCTGCTGCTCGTGGGCGTCGTGCCCGCCGAACATTTGGTCGAAGAAGCCGAATTGCGCGGTGGCCATGGCGAAGAGCGACATGAGCAGGATGAGGAGCTGCATCTTGCCGGTTCTCTTCTGTCTTGCTTTTTTTTTTGGAAGTTTATGCTTCAGGATGAGAGAGGTTGATTTATGTTCTGGGGGTTGCCGTGATGATGACTTGTCCACTGCGCTTATCGATAGCATGGGGACAGGGTGCTGACGGTGTGGCTGACTCAGCAGAAAACTCCAAATTGGCCAACTGGGGGCAGCGAGCTTTGATCTCTTCGGATTGATTGCATGCCATCTTGACGACCGGGCACGCACACGATGCGGTTCCTCACGATGCAGCGGCCCTTGTTGGCCGTGGCTGCTAACTGCGTTGGAGTTGCCCGACCGACTGTTACGGGACTTGCTTCTTTGGGGAGCGCTCAATGGGCGAATGTGCTGGCTTGGGGGAGACGACACGCTTCGGTCAAGGCGCAGGGCGCTTATAAGAAGAAGAGCAAGAGGGGTATTCCGAAGAAGCTGGGAGCCAAGAGGACTGGAGGTAGGCGGATTTCTTGCATTTCCTACAAAAGGGCGCCTTGGTTGAGCATCGGCAACCCGTGGTTCGAATGGGGTGCTCGAGGTTGTGGTCACTCTGGGGCCTGGAACCACGGCGGCTAACTTGTACAGACCAGTATGTCATCCCCGGCAACATCATCTACAAACAGCGAGGCACGCACTGGTGGCCGGGCGAGAACTGCATCATGGGCCGCGACCACACCATCCACGCCATGGCCACGGGCTACGTCAAGTACTACCGCAACCCGTCGCTGCACCCGGACCGCAAATACATTGGCGTTGTCTTCGACAAGGCAGACACGCTGCCGCACCCGCAGCACGCTGAGCGCAAGCGCCGCCTCAACATGACTGCCTTTCCCATCCGCGCGGCGGCCGAGAAGCCCGCCCTGTCGCCCTCTGGGATCCCCTTCGAGGTGACTCGCGTCGAGGCCGGGGAGCCGGACAGGATCCTGAAGCTGCGGTCCGACTACAGCTACCGCGAGGACAACTGGCGCATCGGACGGCTGGCCAAGACGACGGGGCTGCGGACGAAGCGGTTCAGGACGCGGAAGCAGTGGTTTAGGCACCGGCGGTGGAGGAGGGAGAGGGAGCTCGAGGGCCAGAGGAAGGCGGAGAAAAATCGGGCGGAGAGTGGAGAGACGAAGAGCGTCAAGGCTGTCAGCAAGAAGGCGGCCAAGAAAGAGGCCAAGAAGGCTGCTAAGAAGAACAAATAACATTGAAGCTGAGATTTGAAGGGCAGCGGGGGCTGGCATTGTACTATAGCGATGTGTACTACACTAGAAAAATTCACTGTACTCTTTCTTGTATTTCGACGCTGCGGAGGGATAGTAGTAGTATTGCACCATGACCAGTTGGAGTGCTGTGAATGATATTTGCATGCAAGGTGGTCTTGCAGCGGGTCGTCGTCCGCATGATCATTATTACGTACGGATAATTTGAGTATTCACTGCCTTGCAGTGTCTTTCAATCAAATGATGAGAAAAATTGCCAATTTCTTGGACACCTGGAATGCGCTTGGGTCGAACGAACCGCTGTGTGTACATTTGTACAAGCTGAGCGTAAAGTTGCGTCGTTGGCCGTGGTGGCGAACAGGCTCTCTGCATCGCACCTTCCCCAGATCCGCTCAACGGGGCGGGCTGCCAACTGCGGGATCCACAACCGCGTTCGCGCGTCGCACTTTCAACCTCAGCCAACTCGAGCGCATTTCACCCCTAGACTCAACTACTTGCTTACCCTGCAAAGCACCGCCCGTTCTCAAGCCTCAATTACGCACTCGGACTTCGCAAGCAGAGGATTCATCGTTGCACGACTTGTTGAGAGCTCTTACTACTGTGCTATTGAGCTACCAGAAGCACGGGCTTCACTGAATCTGGAAGGGGGGTTCACCCCGACTTCACATTCACCAACTCAACCGTGGACCATGATACATGGTCATCTCATCAGGGACCCTGGGTCTTGAAAGCCCTTTCAGCAAGCACCACCGCCCAAGCCCTCTGCGCGGGCGGCCATCTCCAATGAACTCGGGTATCATTATGGACCTGCCTCTGGGTCCTGTGGACGATGAGAAAGCCGATCCAACCTGGGACGCCGACGGGAGTCACTGGTCGACGAGCTCCGACGACGAGGAGGAGTCGGTGACGGCGATTGACGATCTCCCTCGTGTGTCTGGCACTGGTTCATTAGCGACGGCGACTCATGTCCGAGTTGAGTTGTCGAATCGGCCACACCTCGCATTATTTAATAAAGCTGCTGGTGCGCCAAAGATGGAAGCCCGGGGCAATATAAAACATGAGCCGCTGGAACCAGCTCGGGCGCAGAGTAGTGATTCTGATGACAGCTCGTTGGCGTCCATTCCTGCCATAGCTCGCCTTAAGGAAAGTAAGTTGAGCTTGAAACATGAGACTTGTTGGGATTTGCTCTGCTGACGCTGCAAAGCGCCTGTTCCGCTACCACCTACAGTTGCGGCAGCTGGTCAGTTGCCAGCATCTGTTTCCAGTCAACCACGACTAGCCGGTGTCCCATCTACTACACCTCGTGCACCTCCAGCGCCTCGTGCATCGGGACCTGCCTCTACACCTACGCCAGTTCCGCTTCCACCAACCGTGATGCAAAACGCCTCCGCGCCCCAGGTTTCTGGGCAAACGCCATCCAGCTCTGCTCCCGCTACCAGCCTGCCGGATTCGAGAAAGCCAGCCGCAACTTCTAGCACACCAAGCAGCGGACTGGGGGGATCGCTCCATCTTCCTTTCACAAACGAAAAGATTGAACCGACTTTGCCACATGGAGCACATAGTACAGCTACGCCGCGCAAAAGATACCCCGTGCCAATGGAGATTGCCGCGGATGGCAGGCCATACACTGTCTATGTTCGTACGTGTTGAGCAACTTCTAAGATGTTATTCCGGCGCTAACTTGGCTAGAACCTAATGGGAAATCGGTGCCAACGAAAGGAGTCTTGATCCCAGCTGGGTATGAATTGCATAGTGACCCTCAGCTTCCGTTTAGCTGCCCTGTTAGAGGATGCCAGCGCAGGTTCAAGAACCTAGCTGCGCTGTCCGGCCATTTTGGTTCGTCCCACAGCAATATGACGTTCAACGACAATGGAGATGGAAGCATATCGAAATTTGGTAATTACAGGAATCCCTCAGGAAGGTCGCCAGGTATTGTTGTAGCACAGGTCCCATTTCCCCGTGCAACCCATCCGGCTCTTAAACGGGGTCTTGGCGAAGACGGTGCTGGGCCGAGTAAACGCCAATTAGAGGAGTCGGATGCGGGTCAGGATAGGAAACGACGTGCCATGTCAGAGGATCGTGAACACAATCAAACTACTCAGTTTGAAACGGATGTATCCAAATACATGGCGACAGTTCATTCTGGTTTCAGGACGGCTAACCGACGCGATATATCAAGGATGCTCGCGCTGCCTCGAAAAAGAGATTTGCCCGAGGAGTTTTTAGACAAACACACATACACAGATCTGGCTGCTCAAACATATGCCTGCGCGGTAGCTTATGTCGTTGGGGATGAAGTTTCCGGCCGGTCGGCTTGTCACGCAGCTACAGGGCCCCTCGCATGTTTATCGAAACAATGCATCGTGTTACCCAAGTCGATACAGTTGGACCCGAAGATAGTCAGGATCTTCACTCCCCACCACAGATGCGTTGGATGTGCATATTTGGCCCTCATGACGAGTGCACCAGATCGATGTGAGCTGAGGACAGAACCAAGCAACGCAGGCAGTGGCGACAAAGTAGTACCGACGTCATCGGGACGCCCACTACCCGATGTGCCTACTCTGCGGTCATCACAACCAGCACCACAGCAAGAACAACAATCCTCGCCGATGCCGTCTGGACAGGGTACAGAGCAGACTCCCAGCCGACGGCCTGTGAGGCAAAGTGTCCTTAACCGACTGCAGATGGACAAGGATCAGGCGGCGCGGCCCAAAAGCAAATCGCCAACCGAGCAGCCTAGCACACAGGTTAACCGACCACAGACAGACAGGGATCAGACGGCTCGATCCCAAAGCAAATCGCCAACTGAGCAGCCTGGTACACAGCTTAACCATACAGACAAGGATCAGGTTGCTCGGCCCCAAAGCAAATCGCCAACTGAGCAGCATAGTAGTACACGGCTGGAACGCGGGACACTACCCATCAAGCACCACGGACAATTTGGCACACCAGAATATGAAATGGAAGACTGGGAAATTGCACCTGGTCGAGTTACAAACGAGGACGCTTCTCGAAGTATGGACCCTTTGAGTATAAATAATCAGCGCACAGGCTAACTAGCTTACAGATATAGCATACTCTGGTGCCTTTCTCACTTCGTCTACGCCCATTACAATATCACATGATATTGACTTTAATATCCTCACGATACGGCCGGGACAAATCTTTAATGTCCCTGTACAAAAGGGCAAGATTCAAGTTTTCTCTGTGGCGTCGGGGAAGCTCAAGGTCACAACGGGTGGCAAAGTGGTACAGTTAGGTCCCAACGGGGTGTTCCCCGTGCGGCCAGGCGAGAAATGCGTTATTGAGAATCGGATATATTTTGAGGCCGTGGTTCATTGCACGACGGTAAAGGATTACGAGTTGGCGTAAGGCTTGGGCTTGCTTTCGTTTTGGGTGCTGGGCTTATGTTGTTGTATTTACGTTTGGTTGCATGGTGGGCAGTTGCTCAAGATTGTATATTACTGGCTCCGGGGTCTGCACTTTAGGCTTTCTGCTTGCTTTTCGCTACTATTGAGCTTTTTGTCGGCGTTGCAGCTGTTCGCTGTGCAAGGTACAATGACTGACTCTATGGCCGTGCCCGTATCCCAGCTTGAGTTGTTGAGCTCTAGAAGACGACACGTGGTAGGGGAAGTTTATTGAGGTCCGGCTTACGTGTCTTAGGGAGCAGCATTTGACCGACTCGGAGCCTTTCAAAGATGGTTTTGTACTCGGATACGTGCTTCACTCTGGTATTTTGAAAGGACAAATCGTGATGCCTCGAGGGTATGAAAGGGGCGTTGTCCAAAGCCCAGCACTGACATCTCTGTACTGAGGCAGGACGTCGCATAGTAGAAGTTGTATCAAATGGCGAACAACCATTTGCAGAGACCGCATGACCTTGGCGAACCGTCTTTTCCACCAGAATCACAGGCTTTATAGAACAAGAGTTGTATCAAAAGACTCAACTTTTTATGCTTTCAGGTCATATGAAGCTCCAGATGTCAGGGGTCAACTCCCCCCTTGGTCCCTTGACCACTTAGGGTAATGTATACTCTGGAAGTGCTAAATAACTACGGGGGACTCGAGAATCTAGTTGCCAAGAAAGATGTTGTGTTTGACCCGTGGGTCAACGGATCAAGAAATAGGTCAACAAACAGCGTACCGGCAAAAGATGCTCCGTTGGTTTATTTACAAATCCTCGATACATTGGCTACCCTGGGTCTGACGTTTTCTTTTCTCACGACAGATCCAAATGCAGTTTGATGACATGGTGGATAAGGTATTTCGAGTCAAAAATGCCTTGTTGAGACATATTTTTGGTCGTCAAAAGCTCCAGTAATCACATTACCTCGATGGGGACGTTGTGTTTATGACATTGCGGCTGTTTGATCCCGCTTTGCCTAATGAGTCGCTTCCATAAGGCTATATCTGTACCGTAAACTGCATATATAGGAAACCATTTGCGGCAACTTGCCTAAAACTTTGACATTATAAACGCACCATTACATATGTACCGAAATGGGCTTGTAGACACAGAGTAGAGGCTGGGGCTAGTTGGCTAGTCTAGATTAAAACTAAACATTTTTATGACCTAATCTATGATTTATTGACGTCGAGGAGCTACCATTTAGCCCGTCGATGGCGGCAAGTACCTACAGACTAATTTCGAACCTACAAATATTGCCCCCAGAGCTACAAAATTCTGCGTCTCTGTCCAGTCACAAGGAAACATTCACATGCAGAGTAAAGCTCAAACCAAAATGAGGCCCATTCTTTCTCCCCTCCTTCTCGCTCTATCTTCTCTACCCTTTTCCAGATCTGCACTATGCGTCCTGTCCTGGAACATATCCTACGTGCCCCCAGGAGGCTTGAGGGACATTTCGTTTCCCATCAACCTTTCTAGAGCGCCCCATGTCGCCGGCTACCATTTCGCCCAGCGAGTCAAATTCTACGGCCAGACCTCGGTGGCATACGCTGGGCTTCAGCCTCGACAAGACACGTCATCAGGAGCGACTGTTCTTCGCGGCGTATTTACGAGTTTCATCAACGGCACAACGACAACCGATCCCAACTGCTCCGAGGGCGTCGACGACGGGCCAGGTGTCAGCTGTGCTCATGACTTTTCCGGCTCGCACGCGGATACATGGGATTTAATCATGACAAATACGGCCGGGACGACTTGGGCCGGAAAAGCGGTGAATTACAAGAACGGCACGGCGTTCCACATTGGCACGTGGACTCTGCCTGAAGGCACGGGGGGGATTCAAGGGTCACAGGTTGGCTTTATGGACTATTTCCCCTGGAATACCAACTTTTCCATGACTTGCGCGGATCTCCCTCCCACGGAGTGTACCTTTTCCCCGCCGACGACGGGCAGCTCGTGGAATGGGTACTCTGTTGGTTCAATAAGTGGGAGTGTGGAAAGGTGCGAGAACAACGTGGACCACGGGCCAAGTCTCAACGGGGGGTGGCGGTTTGCCATTTTCTAAGTAGAGTGAATGAGGATGATAAAGGGGAACCGACGCGGTACTCGACGCCGTGGATTCGAGTGGTATTACTTCTTGGCAGGGGGCTTTATTCGATTCCTCCACGCCAAATCCTACGACTCGGCTCCGCTTTCGGATGCCTTGACTTGAATGGGAAAAGCAAAATATAGATGCAGGCATGTCTAGCTGTTGGCTCATGTAGACTCGCTCTCCTGGCAGATGTCAACATGTCTTGACAGTCATATCCCATAGTATATGCATAATGTATTCCTCAAAGTTGTGATTTACAAGTATGTCACAATTAGCAATATACTCATGCTTTCACTGGCTACATTTGCGGATCCGACACATTTCTCTTCAAGATGGATGACCAAATCTATTCAAGACTAGCATCTCCAACAGACTTTATAAGCCATCTACACATTCGCCGGCTAGTCTAGTTTCTCATGCTTGACCATAATATCACAAAAGAAAGACCATTAGCCCCATTTCTTGCCATTTTCACACCAATGACACAACACTTGACGATTCCCTAGTTTCCCAACTACTGACTGCTCTTGTGCACCTTTCCAGGCGCGCAAAAGGTTACAGACGGAAAGTCCTCTTCAGCCTTTTGGAAAACCTCCTTTGACGGACACACGTCCTTCTCGCCCTTGAGCAGCTCAGAGCATGCCGGCCTCATGGCGTTGCGGCTGGCAGTTGTTGCAGAGATCCTCGTATGCCGCCTCGTCGCTGAAGCGCTTTCCCTTCATGTCCGCCTTGGCCGCAAGCTCGGGGGGATTCGAAGTTGAAGATGCCCATGGTGATGGCCTTCATGATGGCGAGGAAGCCGGGTAGGCCGCCGAGGGCGCCCAACGTGGGGACAAACGCGATTGCCGCCGAGGCAAACTTCTTCAAGACGTCCTTGGCTTGTTCCTCGGTAGGAGGGTTGTTGAGATCTTTCGAAGATGTGAGGAGGGAGAGCATGGTGGCCCCTTTGCCGACAGCGCCTGGCGGACTGTCGGTGACTTGCCATCTGACCTGTTGGGCGACGTCGCCCATGAACTTTTCCACATCTTGCTTTTGGGCCTTGAAGTCTTCCAGTGTCTTCTTGATCTTGTCCGGGAAGTCCTTGGACAGGCCATACTTGGAAGGGTCGGGGTTACTCTGCGGAGCGGCGGCGGCGAGTCCAAGCCGGACAGGGACGAATGTGAGAGACGGCTTCATCTTTGTTCGTTTTAAAAGAGCCGAGGGCATGGATCTGAATAGTCAAGATGTGACTTTGTTGGGTTGATGGGTTGAGATGAAAAGATTTCCTGAAGCATCCTCGGGCTCGTCGTGGCGACTTTATACATTTTGGATGCTGTAGAAGCACAGCCGGCTTTGCATCACAAAGAAACTCACGACTAGTGTTGAGGGAAAAGCACCAAGAACCTTGAGGGCGTTGGCATGACGCCGTAGTTTCTCACAACCCCGTATCTAGGATGAATCCAGGGGACTAGACGCCTAGTTTGCGAGTTGGAGATGCTGGATGTACCGACGCACGGTGGTATGATGCTTTCATGCGACACGGTCCTGGTTGGCATGAATAGAGAGATTTTACACGGGTATCTCATAGGAGTGCCAAGTTTCGATGGCATGTCCAAAATCAGAGACTTTCATGAGCGGGTGTCGTTCGATGGTCGCGGCTCATGACGTGGACAGGAACAATGTGGCAAGGGTTCAATAGAGAAGGCTTGGAGCAAAAGGGCTCTATCCAATAATAATTTCGAAGGGTTTATAAGGCCTTGAGTTGCTACGAGAGAGGAAGAGAAGGGTAACCGCCTTATATACATAAAAGAAACGCCCGGGCTTAGGGTTCTTGCCCGGGCACGTGTTTAAGCTGTGTAACTAACAAGTCCTGTATCGGCGAAGCCCCTTTGTTAGGCTTCACGATCTGCTGGGCCTTTTCCGTGTAACACTAGTGGTGAACTTGAAAGAATAAGGCATTACTCGACCATGTTGCAGATATGGTTTCCGTATACTTACTCAGAAGGTGTATCAAGACTGCAAACTTGCGAAAATAGAGCTTGTAGAAACGCTAGGGTTTCCGGTACTAGGTTCTTTAGTATCATCCTAACCCTTTAGACCTTGTGCAGGCTCAGAGTAATACCTACATTTATCTAATAATAGCCTCTGGTATTCAAGGCCCTTGGGGCAGAAGAACCTTTTATACAAAGCAGCGATGACCCCACGAGCCCTATAGTGTCGTCATCATAGGCCTCGTGTAACATCTGCGTGACAATATCAGGGTAGCAATGTGCTCATCCTTCTCGAGCTGTGCTAGCCCGAGCTTGTGACCGGGAAAGTTGAGGAGGGACGGTTTTCGCCTCTTCACATGTGTTCAGACCATGTTTCGATCCATTTTGGCATTTGGCATTGTTGGAGACGCGAGTCTTTGGTGCTCCTGGTGTAGAGTCAGTACTACTCAGTGCATTGCATGTCTTTATTCATGTACAAATCAACTGTGGTACTCGGGACAGCCTCGCCCCTACTCAACATATTCGTTGCGGTCGAAAGGGTGTTCAGGATGCTATTATAGACTAAACTATCTCCTGAACAGATACATACGACCACAGCCGCTAGATAGATCTGGATCCCGTCCCGAACTCCGTTGGATAACCTAGCGAGTGCCGGATTAGTAGCTGGATCGGTGACGACCAGCGAATACCCGGTGTTGTATGTTTTTTCTTTTTTGTTGTTTAGAAGCCTAAACCTTGCTTGAATAAGCGAAACACCTAGGATTAACGGGTCAAGCTTGCACATGTGGTATTATCAACATGCATCACTACCATGAGCATCCGCATTGTCTCTGTCACATCAAGCCGTTTTTTGCACGCTGTGTGCCTGTTAGGAGTTCTAACGAACAAATACTGGATCCTTCTCAAACAGCTAGCTATTCTTCTCCACACCAAAATGTGCAAGGACCACATGGAGCAACCTACCTCTTCCAAGGGGTTAGGGTTAGGGTTAGCACAAGGCGAGATGCAAAAGTCGAATTGTGTCAATGTCATTCGCGCGCGCGGACAGAGTATGCTCACATAATCCAACAGACTTGCAGAGCCTTTTCCCATCCGGTGGTCGGCCGAGGTCACCGGGCTCCCGGCCACGCGGGCCTCATCGGTCACAACGAGCATCACGAGGTGGCGCCCATGTCTCACATGAGCTGCCCCCGACCTGGAACACGAACACCATTTTCGCACTGCGCGCACGAAATGCTACCCTAGAGGATAAAATATGCACGAGCCAAGGCATGGCGATGCACAAGACGAGTCGTGGACGATTGCGCGGTTGCAGCGGAGGGTCGTGACTTGGGGCGTGATGACTCGGGATGGAATGGGACGATGGAGAGCAGGTGATGGACTCGACGCACTCGAGGCGGAGGATATGAAGGGTACGAGTCTTGGCCTTGTCTTTACTCAACTTGAAGCTTGGAGTATTCTTACCTGTGAACAATCCGACGCAGAGTGCTTATAGTTTCGAGCAACGGGGGCTACTCACTTGGAACGAGCTGAGTGCAGGCAGTGCGTCAAGATCAAGTGAAGCACGGAATCATACAGGATTGAAGCAGACAGGACGAGCGCGTTGGCCATGCTCTCCCGCTCGGCGACTTCACCCGCCGTGGCACGCGACTCTTCCTCACTCGCCGTCAATCCTGCAAGTCCACCAAGCCTCGCCCGTCACGACGCGGCATCGCCACTGTGGCATTCGTCAGACCACTCCTCGTCTTCTGTGGCCTCGAATCTCAAACAAGGCGCCGATATTCGCAATGACAGTCCCCAGCCACGCTTCACCATGGACCCGGAGGGGCATCTCACTCATGACAAAACCACCGTCGACATCATCACCGTTCCATGCCCGGGCGGCCATCCCCTGCGCAGCTGGAACCGCGACGGCCTCATGAGCCGCTACTATGGCGCTTTGTCCATGAGAGACCCCGAAGTGAAAGATGACGCTGAGCGGCCAACGCCTTCGTGGGTGAGGCAAGGCATAAGACGGGAGGCGGACAAGGCGCGCATCTTGCTGTACGAGCATCCAGAGATGGACGAGGGCACGACTCTCCACACCCTTGCGGATGAGCTGTTGCGGAATTTACAGCGTCTAAGGGAGATGGAGGACGATGAGCGGCCAATCCTGTTTATTGGACACAGCCTCGGCGGGCTGGCGGTCAAGATGGCGCTGGTCAAGGCAAGTAACGAGGCGAGATATGAGAATATTTTGAGGCAGTGCTACGGAGTCGCCTTTTTTGGTACGTTTCTCGCATGATGCCGCCATGGCCGTTTCCAAGACTCAGATGCCAACCGTGTACAGGAACACCTCACCAGGGCTCGAGCTACTTTTCCCTCCCCAGCCTGGCATGCAGCATCCAATCCCTGCTCCAACTCTCCTCGCCTCTCCCTCCCTCGGTGACGCATCATCTCCGCGTGGGCAACAGCGTCCTCACGCGCCTCGACGAAGACTTCAAAGCCGCATCCAATGACCTCCAAGTGTGGACATTCTACGAGACCATCGACTCTCGCCTCTCCGGGGGCAATGCCACGGCCGGACCGGACTCGAGAGACGTCGACTTTACGGCGCCGCTGACGTCCATGAAATCCGCCATCCTGGGCATGCGACAGGAGCGCATCTTCCCTCTACAAAGCGACCACGCCAACATGGCCTCCTTTGGCAGACACAATGTGCACACGCTGCAGATGTTCCTGAAACAGCTGGCCCACCAAGTCTGCCACGCGGACACGAATGCGCGGGCGAAAGAATCCAGCGGCCAGTGGACGTTGGAGCTGGAGCAAAAGGTCAACGTCGAGGTGCACGGCTTCTTTGACGACGCGCCGCCCAGCCAAGGCCAGCATGGAGACGACGACATGGACGGTCCGATTGTCCGGGCGTGGAGCACAAGAGTACCGCTGAGAGAGTTCTTAACCAAGGGCCCCGACGAGTGTCTGAGCGAACGGCTAAACGAGGTGGAAGGCAGTCCAGAGGAGGAGAGGGCATCGCGACATCGTGGACGGACGCCACTCGCCGACAAGGCAAGCGAGACGGCACCCGTACCGCCCGCCGCCCCGAATCTCATGACCGTCCATAATGCGCTGGGGATACGGGATGCCCTGTCGAGCGCGGGACTTGTACCGTCGCCCGCGTCGCCGATGGATTCATGTTCGGCCGGACACGCTGCCCATTCGGCGCCGGCGGCCACACCCCGTGGTCCGAAGACGCCCCCTTCACGGGCGATTTCTCCCAAATCGAGCCCCATTCGCCGGCCGTCGCCGCTGATACGAGCAGACAGGGAGCAGGAGCTGGCGGTGGATCGTCTCTCGGCGCCGCTCCGGGGCCGTATGGGCGGCCGCGCGATGAGCCGCTCCTTCAGCTTGGGCAGCGACGGATCCCGCTTCGAGGACAGGGACTTGGCGCCGTTTTCCCCTCGAAGCCGGAGTAGTATCGGTGACGTGCTCGCCAGCGACGACGAGGACATGGAGTTGCCGAGGCTGCCGGGGGCTGTGGCTGCCCGCGAGGTTGTCGACGAGGCGCCCGGGGCGTTTATGAAGCCGGATGTCAGGAGCCGCAAGTTTGTGTGGGTGCATGTGCCGTTTAATAACCCGACTTGGGTCAAGGTGAGTTCAGTGTTGCTGCGTTCAGAGGAGCGTTCACGCCGTAGTGCTGACCCTTTCCTTGCAGAGTGTCCTGCAGTCTCTGGAAGCGTCGTACAGCGAGGACTATTCCACATTGTACGGACAGGACTTTTGGATGACGAGACATACCAGGGGAAGGCACGCGCAGCACTATGCACACTACGCGAAGCCGGGATGCTACTTTTCTGCACCGAGAGCCTGCAAGTCCTTGATGCCCTGAACTTGAAAGGCGACAGCCCGCTGACTTGGTATATAGTGTCCCCTCGACATCGATCCCTCGGGAACCAGTCGCTCTCACCACCCCTTGGAAGCGGCGACTCTGCTTACACTTGCTTGTTTCTTCCGTACCTCCACTTTGACTCGTACAAGAAGCTCCTGCGACGCCGGGATACCATCACCCAGCGTCTCTCCCAGGGCCGCGCGCACCCGGTCCCGGAAACGGTTGCCAAGTCTGATTCGCTCGAAGTCCAAGTTATTTGGGAGTATCTGGGTCACGATCCGCCCATCAACTGTCGACGTACGCTGGACCAGTATGGGTATCCGTCCCTGCGCGACACCCGATCGCGCGATGACGATCAGATGCTGTACAAGCTCACCAAGGAACGGACGCCTGCACCCGACGCCAAAGGTTTCGCGCTGAACAAACAGGGTTCGAGCAACGCCGCCATTTCGGAGAGCGGCCGAAGTGAGCGCAGCTCGGGCAGCAGTTGGCGGGAGCGGCTTTTCCGGCGCGACGTGAACGACGACGAGGACAGGGTGTTGAACGGAAACGTGCTGATGGTAGACCAGCTGTGGCTCTGGGTCATTCAATCGCGTAGGTTGGCCATCACCGAGGTTCTGGAGAGCAATGCTAATGCTCGTAGACACGGTTGTATCCTTCTTCCCCAGGAGAGAAAGCGACCCCATAGAAGGCCCGTTATACCAACAGGCCGACCTCCGAGACAGCATCTTCAACGAAGTCAACGTCGACCTGACGCGGCAGTGCGAAAACGCCCTCGATCTAGCCGCCCTGGCCGCCCTCCACGCCGTCAGCGTCCTGCTCGACCGGCCGTCCCACCCGGACCTCGAAGTATTCCGCATCTTCGAAGAAGCCATCAGCGTGCTCGTAAGTCCACCTCCCTTCCCTGCCTCCAACCAAGCGCCCAGCCTAATCCGCCAGACCGAGCGCCTCACCTCGTCCCTCAAGGAATTCCGCTCCCAAGGCTTCCGCGACAAGGCCCTCGACCACTCGCCCGTGCAAGACGGCGCGCGCACCATCCGCAAGCGCCACAAGGAGGAGGGCCGCCGCGCCGAGCGCGACAACCGCGACAACACCTCTGCGCTCCTCGAGCTGCGCGACATGGAGGACGAGCTCCAGACGCTCCTGCACCTGTTCGAGCGGCAGTCCCGCGTCGCCGCGTCCATGCACGCCGCCTACAGCCGGCCCGAGCTGCGCGAGCGGGCGGCCAACGGGCGCGCCTTTCTCGACGAGGTGCGCCTGAGCCGGCTGCACGCCGACCTGGCGAGCGCGCAGTCGCGGAGCGTCATGATCTTCACCACCTTCACCGTCATCTTCCTCCCGCTTACCTTCTTCACGGGCCTGTTTGGCATGAACACCCGCGAGTGGGGGGGCGAGAATAACTTGTCCCTCGAGACGATTGGCATGATTGCCGTTCCGTCGAGCGCGGTGCTGGTGCTGGCTAGTTTGGTTGTTGCGTTTAGTTCGAGCGCCCGCCGGTTTTTCCGGTGGGTGGACGGGCGGTATCGGCACGCGGCGCGGCGGGTGTATTTTGAGATTTGGGGCCCGGTGGTGGTCAGGCTGGTTGATTTGGGGGGGAGGTTGAGGCGCAGAAGTAAGGGGGGGGATGAGGAGGGGCCGAGGAGGAGGAGGAGGCTGGAGACGGAGGTGAGTGATTTCTGGGAGAGGAACCGGCCGGAGAGAGAGGGGGGGTACAGGATCCCAGAGGTGAATAGGCGGAGGGTCCGGGTTGGCGATGCGACGGGGACGGCGAGGTGAGGACGTAGCTTGGAAGTTGGAGCTCGGGGTGTTTAGTTTGCGGTCGTATGGTCGATATTATTGTATGGGTATGTGGCCTGGGCTTGGAGGGTTGTTTTGGAGCATACGCATATGAAATGTTGCGTGCATCTCTTTCAAGACACGATGCTATATTTCCTACTTAACTAACTACATTCTGTTATTTGCCAGTCTGTGCCGGAAGCGGCTTCAAGTACAGCGTGAAACAGTGATTGATGAATACCTACTTGCCTGGAAAGTATGTATGACTGCTAGTCCGCCCTCTCAATCATCTCGTTGCTCTTGCCATCTGTCTCATCAGCCAGCAACCTCGCGCACTCGGCGCCAGCCACGGGGAGTCTCAGCATTTCCCCCTCGGGCCCGGGTACATGAGTCGGCAGCAGCCCCAGCTGCCGAAGCACCGTCCCCTGATCCCACCATATGTGTTCGTGGTATAGCCTGTCGCCGCGGAAGTTGATCACCCCGAGCATGGGGATAGCTAGCTTGACGTTGGTAGGGGGGATATTGGGGACCAACCACGGGATGTGCAACGTGTGCTTGCACGAGAAGATGAACTCGTCTGTGTTGATTAGCATGATGCAGGAATACTCAGGTCCACTGGTCTTGTCCGGCAGACGAACCGACTACTCTGTCAGGGCCGATGGTTCGGGAAACCGGTTCGAGGGCGGTATCTGGCGGGTTACTGCGTTGCCGTGAGCAGACCTGCAAACTACGGGGTAGAGGAGGCCTGAGGGTGAATTACCAGAAAATAAAATGGTCTCTGTAAAAGTTTGTCAGGGCCGCTCGCCCCATTCCGCCCGTCATCTATATGCGTGAGCGTCTTGGAACGGTTCATCTGGTTGCTGCCTTACCGTCGGGACATTGTTCACATATGGCTCGGCCTACACTGATTAGTGACCTTGTTGATATTAATAGAGAAACAAAACGGCAGGCAAGGCCACGTACGACCATGGTAGCCATTGTCTGTGCCACGCTCCTCCTCTCAAACTCCCAGTAGGTATGATCCTCCCAAATGGCCTCAATGTCAAACACCGGGCCTCCTATATGTTTCTTCAAAAACACCAAATTTCGAGAGTGTGCGATACTTGCAGCGGGGGGGTCATAAGTCGCTGAGTTGGGTAGGATGAAGTGCCTTTGGGTATTGGGATACGTTGATACTGTCACATTATTGGTCTTTGCATAGTCCTCTGGAGTGTTGCATGTGTGAAAGTACGTAGGGATATGGGATTGCGATGGGAAGGGCTCGGTGAATGTGGCTATACACGCAATTTCCGGGGGCAGCCGAGATGTGAGTGCGTGCTGGGGAGAATCATATATTATGATGCCGATTTTATCCTTGGTATCGACCCTGTCATGCTTCTTCAAAGCTTCGACTGCGTCTGTGATGGCCTGGATAGCAGTGGCTAGGGCCGTGATTCCAACAACCGCAAAGCCTTCTTCGGCCCATTTTTGGATGGGTTCGGGGTCCAGTGGCTTGTCTTTACGCTTGGTCCTTGCTATGTTTTCGGGGAGAAGGAGGATGAGACCGGGTCCAGTGCCGCGACGGGATAGTGGCGGTTGCAAGACGGCCTCGGGAGAGAGCTTTTGGAGGGGAACAGAAGGAAGCGGCGGGGCTTGTTCGTTGAGGGAGGCTGGATCGTAAAACGCGGGCGGGTCTGGCATCTTGGGGAGCTGGCTTGGTGGTTTCTGAAATTCTGACGATGGAGAGTCAGGAAGTGAGCCGTAACCCTAACCCACGGCGTTGCCAACGAGTAGTGGAGACCCCGCTGTCAGGCCGATGATGTAAGCAGCTGGCCTAGTCCTAATGAGACCGCGCACCCGAATCCAGCCTACTGTCCTCCCATATTGCTGCTTCTCCACCAGCTGACCTTTGTGATGGAGACAAATACCAGCAACCCTGAGAGCAGAGCACCTGATGTGGGAGAAGCTCCTACAAGAATACTAGTCCAGACAAAGACGCATTTAGTGCCCGGCGACGGCTACCACAAAAGATGCCTCTTTATGCTGGATCTTATATGCCAGCGCACCTGGAACCGTGATTTCGACCCAAAGCAACATCGATGGAATGTTCGCGGCGCTCTATTTGGCTACGACCATCATCCGTGTTACTTTCTCGTCGACCATGGCCAATCTAGCAACGACGAAGACGTAACAGTACTATGGTATCACTGGGACGGAAAGTCTCTGTAAGAACAGAACCCATTCGTCCCAGCATGGTTTTTGCCAAAGCTTCTAACATGAGCCGCGCAGCAACTTTATACCACAGCCTCTGCCTAAAAAAATACAATCCAAACTCAAAGAATATCCATTCACACGGCCATCAATCAAAGATATACCGAAGCCGCATCGCCCACTGGATCCCGTTTCTAGGCGAGAGAGTATTCAAAGGAAACTCTATTCCGACATGAACCTTTCAGATGGTGATGTCGAATTTTTGAGGCAACATCCCGAGGACGAGCAATGGATCAAAGATAATATCGAGTCTCGGTTTTGCTCAAAATTAGAGTCCTTTACGCATTCACCAAATGGACAAGGGAAACTTGCATGATGCTACTATGCCTGATCGGTGCAACAGTGTGCTCACGCTACTGATAACGTTGGATAGAGGTCCATCTGTCGTTTCTCCTGACCGCGGTGGACATGACTATGGAAGATGGGTGTTTTTTTATTACATTTCTCGGCTTGTTTCCCACGTTTTTCGCTTCTACGACGGCTTGTGTGATGACCTCTTGGGATTCAGACTACCTTTATGTTACACGGTTGGCACCAGACACAACAAAGGGCGTTGGGGCAACAAAGGCAACGGTCACGAGGCCCGAAGTCGGCTACAAGTGAGGGCTGCCTCAGGCACACAGCCCTCTCCGACTTCCTGTATTTATAGGGGCCTTCGGCCCTTCAAGGCCTCGTGTACAACCAAGCACCTTTGATAACCCAAAGTTGATTATTATAGATTGAATTGAACCCTCTGTTCCAAGCCCAGTTATCCTGCCCTTGTCACATTTTAGCAAACAAGATCCTGGAGCTGTTATACGCCAGTCACACGTTGTGTTACACGGAAATGGCTGGTTACACAAGGGCTACGGTCACGAGACCTAGGGCAAAGTCCCTCACCGACTTCTTGTATAAATAGACGGCTTTGGTCCCTCAAGGCCTTGAGGAAAACCAAGGACCTTTGATACCAAAGACTGTTATTAGTTGAATTGAGCTATTGCTCCAAGCCCTCTTTCCGAGCCCTTGTCACACGTTGTTAATAAAAACATATGCAATCTACGGGTTGACCTGATTGACAACAGTCGTCGCATCTGGGTACATAGTAATGCCCTGAATGATTCTCACATCATGGACAATACGAGTTCCTGTCGTTACAACAATACCTCAATTGCGCCCCCCGAGCTTATGCGTGACAACGAACAAGTCCTGAACCGGCGCAAGGTCCGTAATCTCTGTACACCCAGAGTTCCCGTTGAACCGAATAAAAGCCAGTTCCGCTGCATATTTCACAAGTGGGATCTGCCCTGGCCTGACGCACAGAGTCGCTGTTACTGGACCCTCCTTGGCTGCTGCTGCTGCTGCTGCTGCTATCGCGCGATTGACGTCTGTGTGAGGGCATTGTTGCTGATTGATCTTGGTGGAACTGCGAAAGTTAGATTGACTCTTTGAAGATAATCATCTCGAGGGCGACACAGCTTACTTCGCTAGACTGTACTATATTGGATATGCGATCTAACAACTTGCTTTAATATCCACGGTCCTGGCTTTCTATCAAGGCCCTCGAGGCGGAAGACCCTTCATTTATCCCTTTGGGTGTTCGAAGGTGCCGATTTTGTACCGAAGAAGGATGTCAACCAATTGAAAATCTTAATATAAGAGATACATTAATATATTAGGATATTTATATAAAGATATAAGTACTATTTATCTTTATGTATACAAAAAGATACATATTTATACGCACTAAACCAGGTATCTACTAGGTATCTCAGACAAAGCGGGCCCGGTACGCAATCGGCACCTTCGAACACCCAAAGGGATACAAAGCGGCAGTGAGCTTTCGAACCTGAAAACCCAAGGCCCAACTAGGTCTCGAGCGCTTGTGTAACTATCGTCAGGTTCGAGGGTCGGCCCGTGCCGAAATATTGCGTGGCCTTCATGTACCACGGAGAGGCGATTGCCTCATGTACAGCGGTTCACGAGTGCTAGTGACCAGTATCTTGACGGATATATAGTGCAACAGGCGCTCTTTTGCAAACTTGCCACGATACAAGCTCCCAAGTTCAAACACGATCTCCAAATCGTTGGCTTACGTGCTGGGAATCATAAACCAGATTGGGGTTTTCATGATGTACACAAAACGCTGAAGCACCAATCGGCGGGGAAATGTGCATGTTTCTTTGTTCCTGCCTGCGGTTGCAACAATTTGAGCATCTGGCGGTGTTACAAAGGGCCTATATTTGAGATTCGGCGCCCTTTATTGGCTTCATTCCAAGACCAGGTTATGCAGCATCTGTCGCCATCCTGGTTATAAGGTAGCATTGCTTTTGCTCGGGGCGTTTGTAGTCTGTCAGTTCCCAATCGACCATGCGCAAAAGAGCAACCAACGAGAGGCATGGCCGCGGACGAAGGTCTCAGCGCCAGGAGGAAACCATACTCGGCGCGATTCAGTCAGAGCGCATAAAGAGAGCGACGGCAATCTTTGACAACGGTGATTAGAACAGCCCATTCAACTTCTTCGTCAAGTCTACTTGGTTACATCACCAGTCGCTGGTGTTGTGTCCGACGCTGGCTGCAAGCTTCAGGATCGGCCAGGTCTAAGAAGCACGACTTGGTATTCCATTGTCAAACGATGAAAATTGCTCATCGGCGATTACAGACTAGTGACACGGGAAAACTACCTACCTATGTAGGTAGTAGAGGAGCACATGCCGATGTAGGCCTACCCGCCAGAATTATGCCGCAAGCTGTTTGGCGAGGGGGCACATAATCTCAACTTGACACGAGCTCTACCTTTTCCAATCGAATTATGCCTCGCAAAGAGCGGTCACAATCACGGACTTGTTCGGAGTTGCGAGTACTCAACACCGATCAATTAATGCGTTGTTTCCAAGTGCTGAGTGGCGTATGGTCAGTTCACAAGGTGGCCCGGACGGCACGTAAGATTGTCTTTGCTGTTCTAAATGCGCGGCTCGCTTCACTTCGCTCTGCTGAGAGCCAACGCGAGTTGCTGAGTAACGGCTTAAATTAGAACCAACAAACGTTTCTCGACATGACACGTCGTGAAGTTGCTATGGCGCAGCACACGGCGCAGTTTCTTCGTGCCTAAGAGACGAGCAGCGGTGAGCTTAGTAGAGGGAACTGACCTCGAGGCCCAATATGGATGCAAGTGTATAAATCTACACGATCCCAACTAGAATGGGGATACTTTCTACGTCCCAAGACATAATTCGCACTGCATACTCCTTCGCAGAAAAGCGTCGACGATTCTCCCCTTCTCCAAAACCTAAAGCCCGCACAACATGATCGCCTCAACTATTTTCTGGGCAGCGGGTGCAATCGCATCCCTTGCTTCCGCATCTTCTTGTCCTGGAGGCAACTTTAAACCCAACGCTGAGTCCCAGACAATAGTAGCTGCCAGTTACGTCGATATTTGGAATGGAGACTTCAGTCTCGAAAACAGGACATTCGCCCCTGACGTGGTCTTATACCAGGACCGACTGCCTGGTCCCGGTGGCTCCGAAGACTTGCCGGTGGGTTCCTCTGCCGAGTTCATCGAGTTTATGAGGCTGGCCCGCTTTGGCTGGAATCATTATAAATTTGACATTCGTAATCTGGCTTTTGACGGGTACAATGTTGTTATCCGATGGGCCCTCAATGCAACAGTTGGACCACGCGACAAGATGCTTATTCCTATGTGAGTACTTCCCGGGCTCTCACTCGCTGCGCGAAGTAGAGTGAATGGAATAAAGCAAAGAGCATTGGCTAATGACGGTTGTGATGTTGCAATCCAGCAACAAACCAGAGGGAACGGACATTACCTTCAATGGTACAGACTGGCTCTACCTGGATGAATGCACGTTCAAGATTAAGCAGGTAGACTCGGCGCAAGATTACATTAGAGAGTTGTACCTGGAGGGAATTACCGAGATCAAGATCTAGAGTTGTTGGAATGTCCGTGCCAGACTTTCTTAATGGAAAGAATCACAGGCACAGGCTCGCAGACTTCTCAGCCAGCGAAAGATGTTGTAACTGCACGGTCACTGTCGTCGGTTACGCGTTAGAAAGGGAGGGGGTGTGATTTGGAACTCGCGGCATGTTGATGAAGGACACTAAAAGGCTGCATTGGTCTTAGGAAACAATACATGGATCAAAAAGGAAAAATTCCTGTGACAGTTGTTGGGTAGCTCTGATGTTTGACCCGAAACATATTGACTTAAGGATGTTCACGCCATCAGTGATATTTGTCCATACTTTACTGGATTGGATGTGAATCTCGACGCCGGAGAAACAACCGTGTGTATTGCCCACTTCTCGGTTTAGGAATACTTAGAATCGCTGCGTATACGTGATCTAAAGATGCGACCCTATTTAGCGTGATGAAAGAGCGTGCTAGTGTACCTATAGCTTATACCTATCATTTTATTAAGCCTGACCTAGTAATTCCAGAGCGAACTGAAAACGATCAGTCGCTTTTCTAAAAGCTATGCTCAAAATGAGCCAGCAGACTACGCTACGCGTTACTAGCCAGCCCACGATCTAGATAGCCTACCTAATATTCTAGCTGACACCCTGGCATACCGCCTTTCTGAAAGATAAAATGGGCCACTGAAACATTGGTTAGTATGTGGAACGCGAAAGGAGTGCGGTTGTTGCTGGACTATAGTCGGCCCTTTGGAGATGGATGTTGATGGAGCGTCACCTATTTTAGTTTATGAAGGGCAATTGGTAAGCAGTGTTGGGCCAGAAAATATGCAGGCTATTGGGGAAATAATGAGTTTGAGTATATTAGTATTGATTGATGTGCCTATAATTTATGCGTGAAATGGACATGTCTGACTCAGTGTATCCTACCGGAGAGCATGGTGTCAATGCCGCTACAAAGTTCTTCAATAAGTTGAATGCTTGCACCTATAAGTGTCTCGGCGTTATCTTGTGCCTGAGGTGGACGTGTTGCCTGAGACAGTGAAAACTATCGCTGACAAGGACATCTCTCATGGTACCTAGGCATTTGAGAAGTCTTTGCGCACTCAAGCCCTAGATTCATGAACACATAGTTAGCTGATTTCATGACATGGTGGATTCGAGACGTGTGGATATATAAAAGAGGCCAGGGTATCCATCCCGTATATGCCGACAATCACTATGGCATACTGGTAATATGTTTTGCGGATTCGCCCCGCGGGACTCAACCCATCCATGTCATTCCATCCCGCACGGCAATCGCGGCTTAAAATATTGAGCCATGCTACTTTCACATGCCATTTGAATGCACATGAACTATATTCGTCACCCTGTGGTGAGCCTCATGCGCACCAAGTTAGCAAATACCGCTCAATATTGGCCGACCCGACGTCTCACATACTGGTTGGAAAAGGCCATGTTGGCAAGAACTCAGCTACAAAATTTACCACTGCTCCAAACCATTGCGTGAGGAGATGCCCTTGGGACCTTGTGGGCAAAAGTACGTTGAAAATTCCTCTGGAACAATGGGACAGGGATAGCAATCCTCCCGCAGTTGCAGTCTGTATTCTGCCCTAGAAACCTGGCCAGCTACTTACCAAACAACCCTGACACTAGAAGTTTCCAACAGTCAAATGCATTGACCTGACCCCGTCGGCATTTGTTGCCTTGTACCCGGCAGTCGACAAACGGCTGGGCCGTTTTCACGCACCTAATTAACATAAGACCAACCTTAGTATATCTTAATTTCCGAGTATTAATAGTTGGCATCCTTCCATAAGATAAGCTTCAAACCCCTGTACAAGGCGGAGCTACTATTAGATTGACTGACATCATCACGTCAGTGCTGCAAGGGCTCCAAACATGCATATCGTCCCACAAGGCCCAACAAGTACCCTAGAATGAGGCTATAATTATAATATTAGTACCAAGTTTCTATCAAATATTGGCTAGCAATAAATATATTGAACAACTCATTCTGAACTGCTTATTGACCCACACCCCTGACGCATAGTAAGGGAACTTATAGCCCTCCACGCGGCTGGCTGCAAGAGCATGTCCGCGGATGTTTAGACATGGATTGGAAAAGCTTGGCCATGCAAGGGATGAGTGTGCAGGTTTCTGGAAAACTCCGTGATAGAGCCAGTTCATAGTCAATGATGCTTACAACTCGTACATTCATCTAATATAAATACAGCTTGCCAATTCTCTCCAATATCTTAGCATCTTTATTTGTCCATCTTGGTTAACTGACCTCATTGGTACATGGTTTATATCCAGTTCCAAGATGCATGCTCTCGCCTACTTCGCCATTCTGCCTCTTGTTCTAGGCGCTGTGCTGCCAGCAGACAGCTACACCACAACCCCACGACCAGGAAAACTTGTTCCCGGTCGATACACCGTGAAATTCAAGGAAGGCACCCCCGTGTCTGTCCGTGACAATCTTTTAAGTCAACTAGACAATGCAAATGAGCATGTCGACTACAATGATATCTTCGTGGGATTCACCAAGGCTATGAGCGAGACCGAGGTCGATTTAGTCCGCAACGATCCAAACGTAAGGAAAGACAGCAGGGACGAATATGCCAGATGCTAAGATTTGCCTAGGTTGAATATGTTGAACAAGATCGTGACGTATACGGATTTGGTATTGTTGAGCAACCCAAGGCGTCTTGGAACTTGGGCCGCATTGCCAATAGGAAGCGTGGCATCGATAAATACGTGTATGACGAGACGGCTGGCGAAGGCACCTGTGCATATGTTATTGATACTGGTGTTGACGATACTCATCCTGTGGGTTGAATAAAGCTGAATATGTATTGGACATAGGCTAATATACCACATGTGCAGGATTTCGGGGGCCGTGCCAAACAGATCAAGTCCTTTGTCCCAGGGGAAACTACCGACGGCCATGGCCACGGAACGCACGTTGCAGGAATTCTCGGCAGTACGACATACGGCGTAGCCAAGCAGACCAGGATCTTCGGAGTCAAGGTCCTCGATAATAACAATCAGGGCTACGAGTCACGAATCATCCAGGGCATTGATTTTGTAGTCAATGACCAGAAGAAGCGCCGCTGCCCCAAAGGCATCGTGGTCAACCTGTCCACCGGAGCTGCGAAATCAAACATCTTCAATGCCGCAGCCGCAGCTCTCGTCAAGACGGGCGTCTTCTTTGGCGCCGCGGCCGGCAACTTCAACGACGATGCCAGCAACTACTCCCCGGGCTCAGACCCAAGCGTCTGCGTCGTCGGCGGCACGGACAAGGACGACAAGCCCTTCTTCATCAAAGGACGAGGCGGCCAGCCAGACTTTGCTACCAACTTCGGCGCGCGAGTTGACATCTTCGCCCCCGGCCAAGATATCGTGTCGACGCGCACCGGCGGCGGCGAGCTCACAATGAGCGGCACTTCCCAAGCCTGCCCACACGTGGTCGGCATCGCCGCATATCTCGCTTCGCTCGAGGGCATCACCGGCACCAAGCCGCTGTGTGATCGGATCCGCAAGCTTTCCACCAAGAACGCCATCATCAACCAGCACCCCAATACGCCGAACCGCCTGGCCTTCAATGGTGCGACGCTGTCGTCGAATCGAAAGCCGCTCTGCACCGAGATCAAGCAGCTCGAATTCGGGATTGCCCTGTCCGACGACATGTTTGCTGGAACAAATGATGAGATTGGCGCCATCTTGGAAGGTCCCGCAGGCAAAGCCGAGTTCAGCATTGTGACGGATGCCTCGCGTGGGTTCAACACGCGGGTCCCTGTTGATATGAAGGCGAGCTTTGGCTCGGATACAATCAAGATTGACGGCATTAATTCCATTAGTCTTACCGCCAAGGGCCCGTGGATTTCTCTGCTGACCAACGACAAATGGAAGGTCAAAGGTGCGTCCCAGTCAAGATTTCACTGCTTTTTGAACATGAGCTAATCTTGTCATGTGAACTCAGATGTTACACTGCATGCCAAATGCGCTGAGCCAGGTCTCGAGGTTGCAGATGAAAAGTACATTTCGCTCAACGCCTGGTACCAACATCCCGATGCCTCGTGGCTTCCATTCACCGGCCACAGCAAACAAATTGTTGCCAAGTTGGGTGTTTCTCGCGCTGACTGGACCATGAAGCCGCCCTGCGTCGAGGTCAAGGACATCACGTACTGGTTCCAATTGGGTGACAAGTGGCTCGGGGGAGCCGACGGCATTTTGTCCTTTAAGCTCGGAGACGGTAAGAGGATTACGGTTGGAGAGAACCTGGACGCTGGTTTCTTCAAATCGGGTACCATGGATCTCAAGGATATTTATGGCCGTGACACGATGGATCTCCGAGACATTAAGAAGCTGCAAATATTTGACAATGTAGGGTACAAAGGGAAAACAGACGAGTGGTTCCTCCAAGGTATGAGCCTTTTACTACACCGTGGAATCACGTCAATGTTGCATTCTTATTAACTTTATTCTAGGCATTGGATTCGGGGCAACTTGTGCAGAAGGAGGGCAAAAGGTGAAATTGAGCAAGTTTGGTAATGAGGATGAGTGGCTTGGCGACGATCATCACTATGACGACCTTGTCTATGCGAGAGACATTATCCCATCTGACTGGGTAAAGGCCGTTTGAGGTGTTAAATTGATAGGAATACCGAAGCATGTTTGGCCTGTCAATATTCGGGGTTATGAGGGAATTTGGTTCGATTCCTAAAAGCGCTGCAATGTCCACAACCTAGCGAGTCAAAGTAGTTGGTTCACAACGGGTCATCTTTCAATGCGGCACATTACACATGTTTTATTTTGTGGAAGAAATTTGAGAGCAAAATTTAACTTTGAGTGCAAACCAAACACAACATTGAACTTCAAATGTTTCCTAATAAATCAACGGCGCTATAAACGTTATCGTACGGGCCGTAGCAGTCGAGTTGCATGAGACAACAGGGCAAGAGCCAAGAGCTCACGGAGCTCTTGGGGTACTCTTGGTCTGAAGCATAGACCGGCATGCAAGCTACATACGGAAAATTACGGAGATCCATGGCAAATATCCATGGCAAATATCCATGGCATCTAGACTCATCCTACATAGCCCTACGAGATGGCTGTCGGAGAGAATGATATTGATAGTTTTTCGTCGTCATGATGCGGGCCTGCTTCCCCCATCTCAATAGCGGAAGAGGGGCTAGCAAAATAACAAAGGACAATACACCAATCATGATAAACATATTCTGCAGGCCCATGCTATCAAGCCATGGGCTTAGATAGAATAAGATGATGACAGCGATGCCATTCCGAGCAAAAACGACAATGACAAGCGCGTCACCGATTATCTAGCTTGACGTTAAAAACCGCATCATAGGACCTCAATGAAGAAACTAGTTTGCGTAACATACGTTCGGATAACAATCTTGGAGATAGGCAAGCGCGATATCGAGAGCGAGAGTGAAGCCGGATGCAAAGATGGCTATGCCCGTGGTTAAAACACCCCAGTGAGCATTCTGCAAAGCATGCGTCAATGACAAGGCACAAAGTTTCGTGTTGGAGGAGAACAAAAGAAAGGCAAAAAAAATCTCACATGAGCTATTCCAATCCCAAACATAAAAATACCAGCAGAGACAAGCACAGCACCCGGGAGGGCCAGCCACAGTCTCATTTCCGGCTCATACAGCCCGCCGTTTCGTCTGGCCATTTTCACGATGCATTTATCGCTGAACGGGGCAGCCAGCAGGCCAGAAATGAGCTGGCCAACAAACGGCGCCAGGTTAATAAGCCCTATTGCACTTGGGCCAAAGTTGTAAGGCGGGCCTATCATGCGTGTGGCCGCAACAGATATTATCACAGCCATCCACGACATGACTGAGCCGACGGTTACTGCCGTATATGCCACCGCGGGAAATTGAAAGAGGATTGTAAAAGGAGCCAGGAAATGGTGTTTGATCGGTCCTTCCGTATGGGTTACGAGTGCGAGCCGTTTCCGCAGAGGTTTCGACGACATCACGCCGCGACCTCTGAAAGGGCGCGATGCCGACTTGGGCGGCGTAGTACTGATCGATGCCGTATTCGCAAGAGTGTTTACCTCTTGCCAGTCTTTTCTAACGGATTCGTCCGTGTCATCCTTTGGCGACGCAGCGACCGGAACACCGTCAATCGCCGCAACATACGTGGTTTCTTCGAAGAAGAGCAGAACGAGAACAAGGGTTGATGCAATGAAGATGACGCACCACCACCACATCCACCTCCATCCTTGGGATTGTACAATGTAACCGGCTGCCACGGGTCCCAGGTACGCGCCCACGCCTTGGGTGACCAGAAATACGCCATTCATGGTGGCATACTGGTGAACGAATACCAAGTCCACAATGGTGATTTGCACAATCGTTTCGCTGATGGCGCCCCCCAGGCCGCCTAGCATGCTGGAGGCCAGGTACTCGCCCTTGGATGTTATTCTGGCCGCCCATATAGTCGCAGCGAGTTGCACAGCAATGCTGATGAGGTAAATGGGCCGGCGACCGTAGCGATAAGTAAAGGGGATGAGGAGCACGCCACCGATTGCCAGTCCCGCAAAGTTGAGAGCCGTAGCGACATTTGACAGCTGGAATGTGATGCCTATGTCTTCTACGAGCTGTCCATATGCCACTGGGGGAATGTCGAGGACCACAAAGGTCAAGAGGACATAGCTGAGAACGAGCCCAAGGTTTACGCACTTGCGAAGTGCGGACCAATTCTATCAACGAAGTTTCTGGTTAGACACGTGCCTTTAATCCAGAACGTGCTTCATGGATCAGTGGACGGAAACTTACCAGAGGGTCTTCTGGGTCGTCACTTGGCTGTGGCTGGTAGATGATGGAGCCGGATTGCTCTTTGTGAGGGAGTCGTTAGCATCGCAGCCCCTCTGTTCGTATAGAAAACGGCATGTCGTTCATACCAGAGCTGAGCAATACCGTGCCCGGCGGGTCATGATGTTCGGTTGACATGCTGAAGGAATTCGAGAGTGTTTGGATTATACGGCGGTTTTTGGGAGATGTGACGGCGTACATCTAGCCCCAGCCTGGATATAAATCAATTTTCGAAGTCATGTACGTTGAGCCATCTCAGATTCGAACATCTTTACCCCGTAACGTATCGTCCTCCATGGGGTTTTGACATCATTGTCTGGGGAAATCGGTAAGATGGTGAAGGTAGCAGCCGCAATAATGCATGCTCTTTGACCAACCACGTGAAACACTAGTATTCGCAATCGGTCGCGGTTTATTATACCAGACCTCCTTATTAAGTGTCCGAAACTGGCCTGATTCAGCGGGGCGGCCCTGGCATAATGCAAACATGCCAAGTCCGCCGGACAGAGTCTCAATTCGCTCTCGGCAGACTGCGGTCCCGATGTCACGTAATCTAGTTCGCCTTCTTGGCCAATTAGATGAGAACCCGTTCGGGATCATAGGGACAATACACCGGGCCCGGGAAGTTTCCTGTTAACACGGGGTAATATGTGGGCTATGAAGCGTCTGTTGATCGCGTACCAGGATGAACTCAACAAACCTCATCGAGGTAATAGTACTGTCTATAGCAATGTAAAAATCTCTATATGAAGGCCCAAGTAGACATAAATATCTTGATAAGTCAATGAGACATGTCGAGTTTCAGGCCCTGAATCCAGCGCGACTCTCATTGCTTTAATTCTAAGCTTAGCATTTATTGTTTCGTAACGCCTATTACGTCATGAAGCTTCTCGTGTTGGAGCTTATACTTGCGGCCACCGCCGTCGGCTCTCTCGCAACCAAGAGTCCCTGGAAAGTTTCAGTCAGACAACTGTCATCCAGCGCCATGCAACAAAACATCGGTTTGCAGAATAATACAGACGGCAACATGGGATGGGAGGACATTGTCAAACGAAAACGCGCAGAGAGGGACGCCCTATTGCCCCAGGAATGGAAACTCAAAGCTCCTCCTAATACGACCGCATTCAGCCCTCTCAATCAAGTCATCAACAGCGGCCTGCTTTCGTCGGAAGAGCTTGAATGGACCGACACCAAAAAATACGACGCTACGACAATGCTGCAGCGGCTCTCCTCTGGCGAAATCACCGCAGAGAAGCTGGTCACGGCATTTTGTAAGCGCGCCACAGCAGCTACCTCGCTTGCGAACTTCCTGACCGAAGTGAACATTGCCGACGCAATCAACCGTGCAAAGGAACTTGACCGTATTCTCAACGAGACGGGGAAAACTGTCGGCCCCCTTCACGGACTGCCCATGACAATTAAAGATACCGAGGATCTTAAAGGGTTCGATACTTCATGCGGTATCACTGGCTGGGCCTTTGATCCACGTGAATCAAACGGGCCTCTTATACAGATCCTGATTGATGCCGGAGCTGTAATCATTGGCAAGACAAATATTCCGCAGACAGTCCTGGCGGCTGACTCGGACAGCGTCGTCTGGGGAAGGACGTTGAATGCTCACAGAAACACCTTTGGCGCCGGAGGCTCAACCGGAGGAGAGGGCTCTGCCCTTGGCACTGGCTCTACACTCCTGGGAGTTGCGTCTGACGGTGCCGGTTCTTCGAGGATGCCCGCCATGGCAAATGGAGTTGTCGGCTATCGACCCAGCGGCTACCGTCTTCCCCCAGGTGGCCGTGAGGTCTTCACAGACGGAAGATCAGGCCTTTCCATGACCGGTCCCGTCGCCGGAATGGGCCTCATGGGCCACTCTGTCCGAGACATTCGACTCGCGGCCAAGGTAGTGTCTGATGCCAAACCCTGGGAGGCACAGACGCCATTCATGTACCCAAGCCCATGGATGAACATCACAGCGCCCGAAAAACCTCGCATCGGCGTATGGAACGTGGAGAGCCCCAACACCTACCTGCATCTCTTCCCGCCAGTGCTGCGCGGATACCAGACGGCCCAAAGTCGTCTGCGCGCGGCGGGCTTCGAGCTGGTCGAGTTCACTCCCCCGGACATGAGCCAAGTATGGGATCTATGCAAGGAGTTTCTCATCTTCCAGGGCATCGAGACATTGACTGAAATGATCTCCAGAGAGCCCATCACCAAGATTGTGAGGGACACGGGCATCTTTGTCCCTGATACGCCGCGGTTCCCCGTCAGTGTGGACACATTATACCAGCTCAACACCCGGCTTGTCAATCTGACTGTGGCCATGGACACGGCGTGGAATAGTAGCGGGAGGCCTCTCGACGCGCTGCTCTCCGTCACGGCGGCCAACACGGCGCTTCCGTGGGACACGTGGCACGACACGACGTACACGTCTATTTACAACTCGGTTGACTGGCCGGCCATTTCACTCCCGCTGGGTCTCACTGTGGATAAGAATATCGACCACAAGTATAGTGACTTTAGGCCATTTAGCAAGGAAGATGCGAGGTTGGAGGCATTGTATAATCCCGAGACGTTTCACGGCTTACCGCTATCGGTGCAGCTTGCCGGGAGGAAATTTGAGGATGAGAAACTGCTGGCCATTGCTGAGCTTTTGCATCCCGTAATGAAGGGCGAGTAATCTTGCGGGAGGCAAAGATGGATAGACCTATTTATAGAGGATCATCGCAAGAGTGGAAGTTGAACAGATTCTCGATTGCCTGGAGAAATTGCATGCGTGGCCAGACTTGCCTTTTGGAGCGCGCGACTCTGAGCAACAGGTCTATAGGGGGAGAGAACCAACACCTTCTTGGAACTATTTACTTTCTTTGCGTATATAAATTATATTTTATTGACTCCTGTCCATTTTGTCCTTGGTATTCGTTTATCTTTGCTACAAATATTTGAGTTTGTGAGAGGTTTAATAGTTGACTTTGACTTGCATAAGCAAACACTTTCCGCATCGAACTACCTTTGCTGCGTGCGCTTTATTGCGCACCATTTCGTAATCCAGGATTTTATTTAAAAAAAAGTTGCTTCACCCAATGCCGGAGTTGTCGAAGAGCCCTTACGGATCTTATCCCCTCACTACAAAGAATAATTTGAACAATTTCGAACTCCAGCTTACTCATATTGCACCATTACATTAGTAAGAATAAGTTGTAGTTTAAACTTGCACCTCGCCAACATCAAGTCGTTTTATACAAAGCAAGCAGGATATGTTATCGGTAGGAAAATATTGTGATCCTCGATATCTTAGACTATGCCCTAGCTCGAAAGTCGGTCCATCCCTAGCAATCCATTAATATAGGTAGCTGGTCCGGCTCCTCTTGTAGCCGTTGGCCAACTTGTTCAATACCCATCCCCTCCATCATCGAGGCCAGCATGGCGGTGGGGAAATACGCATGCAGAAGGAAACGTACGCACAACACCCGCAGGGAGCATCAACTAAACCTTGGGGATGGTTGTGTATAGACTTTGCTTTCAAATGTGACGAGAAAACGATATATCCCTACTACGAAAACAATATATCCCCGTAGTAGGGGATGCCAACAAAAAAAAGCTGACAGAACGGGGATTCGAACCCCGGCCACTTTCGTGAACGGAACGCTGCTTTTCGCAAGCGAAAGTACATATATGTGCTTGAGACCGTCGCCATAGACCACTCGGCCATTCTGCCCAGATCGCTTGCTGCGGGGCTGGAGCTCAAGAAGACCAATATCTAAACGAACAATGCACCAACACAATTCAGAGAAGCGAGTCCAGGATGACATTGATGTCAATCGCAGTTTATAGCATTGTGGAGTAGATAATCTGCAAAAGGAGAGTTCTATCCGCGCTAGAATAACTCCTTGTTGAATTCGAGAAGCCGTTTTCAGGAGCCTCCATCTAGTCATCTCGTAGATTTCTCATCCTTCCTTGCTTAGTTTAAATTTAGTCGGGCTGCCAACTTCCCAAAGACGGGGGAATTTGCCCGTAGTGACCACAGCTATGGCCCAGGCTAACTGAGGCTTCATAGCGGCCGTAACTAGGGGTCTGCTGAGTTTTGGGCCTACATGCATGTCAATATCGATTGATGTTTACGTCGTCTGTTACCAGACGGTTCTATGGGTGGAGTCTGGTACGTTTGGCCCGGCATATTGTGTGTGTAACTGGGCCTTGCTTGATGTAGTTCTTGCACAACCATTTAGATAAATGCAAAAAACAAAATTAGAACTTGATTAATAACAAAAATGTATGTATATTACGGTAAAAAAAAAGCAGAGAGTACCGCGCCCAGGCGCATACCCCTAACAACGCGGCTTGGGGTATGAGTCTTTAACCCTAACCCAAAACCTCGGCTGCTGTCACACGGTTTCACGAGGGCTACGATCGCGGAGCCTAGAGCAAAGGCCCTAATCGCTTTCTTGTCAAGTATTTATAGAGCTCTTTGATCCATCCAGGCTTTAGAGAACCAGGGACCATTAACGGCCAAGACTGCTACTAGATAAATTGAGTTTTTACTCCAAGCCCTCACTGAGCTCATGTCACAGCTGCTCCGCAATTGGCTTCCGTACATAAACCTACATGTGAACTATTAATGTATTGAGAGCTGAAAGAGTAAAGAAAAAGAGGCAGACCTAAAGAAAACCAGGGTCTACTTGAGTAGGTAGACCTTCCGACTAAGGTGGCACGATAGTTCAGGCGCTGGGATCTCCTCTGAGACGCATCAGCACTCAGCTCATCTCGAGCGAAGCATGGCATATTGCTGTTTCACGATGGATTGGTCTCGAGGGTTCACCATTACATGTGCCCTGTTCGTGATAATTAAAAAATAAAATCAATGATCCTGCTTGAAATAAGCGGCGACTTAATCGAGCGGCATCAGGTAACGTGACGATATCAACATTGCTCATCACAAGCCATGGAATACTATTGTTTCTTGTTACTGCCATGATGGCAAAATTGTCCGAAAGAGAGGAGTGTAGTCTCGTTGTCATTGAGATTGTCGTTTTACAAACTTGTCGATAGCCCTGTGCCACATCTTAGCGACCCGCGATACCAGCGTTGTATAATACTTGCTTTCGACTAGACGTCGGCGCCCCTCTCGAGCAGCGGCCTGACGACTCCCAACGGCCCTTTTGCGACTGGTTATAGAGGCCGTGTTTCTCTCTGCGGTAGCTCGCGACGACGGCGTCCCAACGTACCCCCTTCCGACTCGACGTCGGCGCTTTGCTCGAGTAGCGACTTGACGGCTTCCCCGGTTGTTTGGCTTGTTGACGACGCGACTCTCAAGCAGCAGCTTGGCGATAGCTTCGTGCCCCCTCGCCTTGGCCAACGATAGCGGTGTCCTGTCCCCGTTATCCTTTGACTCGACGTTGGCGCCTTTTTCGAGCAGCAGCTTCACGATAGCTTCATGCCCCCTGACGACGGCCCACGAAAGCGGCGTCCAACCACTGCGCTTGTCCTTGGATTTAATATCCGCGCCCTTCTTGAGAAGTAGCTTAGCAATGGCCAAGTGCCCATTCTGGGCTGCCCGCGATAGCGGCGTCAAACCACTATACTTGTCCTTGGATTCAATATCCGCGCCTCTTTCGAGCAGTAGCTTGACGATGATATGGTGGCCATACTCGGCAGCCCATAATATCAGTGTCCCACCGTACTCGGCGTCCCTCGCCTCAATATTCGCGCCTTGCTCGAGTAGTGGCTTGACGACAGCTACGTGCTCGTTCCTGGCAGCCCACCATAGCGCCGTCCGATTATACTCGCCGTCTTTGGCCTCGAGGTCGGTCGCCCCCCGTTTAAGAAGCAGCTTGACAATGGCACCATGACCAAAATAAGATGCTACCATAAGATGTGTAAAATGCGCTGGCGTCTTTCGCTCTGTAGCTGCGTCCCAATGCCTTTTGGAGTGCGGCCAAGTGATTCTAGTGTTCCAGTAGATTCTACACCACGTCGAATAGCTCTTCGAGTCCGGGTGGCAAATCCCAAGAGTACATGGCATAATGGCATCGCCATCCCTGATGCCGGCTTTGCGGAAGTGAGCGCCCCAATTTTTGGCCGAGTAATCTAAAAAGGCAGAAGTATCGACAGAGTGAACATCTTTCTTCTTCACGTTTTTTGGAAGGCGAATTTGATTCAAGTTGAGCAAATTCAGGTAGAGCACGCAGACCTTGGCAAGAATATAGTGTGCGCTGCGGATAGTAATAGACTGATGCCATTGTAGCCCCAACGGGATAGGTGCAGGAGTTGCCGCAAGGAGAAACTCACGAGCCGTTTGATGAAGGAAATAAATCTTATTATGATGGATTGAGGTAAATAATCCACACCAAGATCTAAGCCGTAACTTGAAGTCTTTATCATCCTCCAAGTCCAGGTTAGTGGACTTGAATTTGTCAGAGATGCTTGCTGCCATATTTATTTCTGAGAGGGTAAGCGGTCGACTTGCTGCCAAAATGATGCTTAAAGCTTTTCGGACTATCGGATGTTGCTTGGATTTGTCAAGTATTTGCTCATATGCCTCGTTGACACTTCTTAGAAGTGTCGCAAGCGTAGTCTTAATTCCGTCTTGTGTCTTCTAAAAGCTTTCTTTCTCCAAGTAATCAAACACAAGGTATACCCAGAGATAGGAGCGGTGTGTAGTCTCTTGTAGTCTCTTCTTTAGATATTTTTTGATTTCAGGCGAGAGAGACTTTGTTTTTGATAGCTGATTTACTCGGCGTGATGACACGATTCACCTCCTGGCTGATGGCTTCTGACTTGTCCTCCCCTGGTATGTGGGAATCTGGAAAAGCCTCAAATAGGTAGCCACGGAACTTGGATATTATCTGCTCGTACAGGCAGCAGGTGAGAAGATACCTTAACTTGCTATAGACTAACTGATTATGGCGAAATTGGCTCTCTATATGCCGTATCAGGTCGGTAAACTCCAACTCACCACATTCATCTAGGGCGTCTAGGACCAATATTACAGCCCCGGCTTGAGGATCCTGTACAGCATTTTCAAGGATAGTCCAGAGCGACTTTGTTGAGCGGATTAAGCGTTCTCCGTTCTTATAAAATTGCGGCATCGCATGGTTAATGAGAGGCGGCCTCTGAGAGAAGAGCCGGTGGAGGATTGCGCAAAGCGCTTGCCGCATGGTATTCTGGTCCTTATGCTTAAAGAAAAAATAGTATATAGTAGCTGATCGTGGTAGGCTGTGGTCAATTAAGTACTTGGTTAACACTGATTTGCCGCAGCCAGGGTCCGCCGAGACAAGTAAAGGGCCGGATTCCTGTTTTAACCACTTCTTGAAGTGTTTGTGCTTGAGAAACCATAGGCATGTATCTTTAATTCTTTCTTCTACTCGGTCTTTGTACCACTCATATGTGGCGTCCTTGTTGCCGGCTGTGAGTCGAAAAAGCTGGTGACACGTTTGTCTTTCTCTGGCCTGTCTCTCTTCGTCTTGGACTCTTTGGACTTGGAGCTGCTCCTTTGCGACGTCACGGGCTTCGTGGAGACCTATTCGTAAAATTAATGTATATAAAGGGTAGAATTTTGATACGTCGAAATTACCGGATAGAATATCGCTCATGTTCCTCTCGGCTTCAAATTGACTTGCAACAGATGCTGTTTCTCGTATTGGTAGATGGAAGAAAAGCTGTCGCGCGTACGCTGCAGCAGCAGCCGCTGCGAAACCATGCCATACGTCATTCTTGTGGGAGTCGCAATAGTCAGAGATGCCATGAACTATCATGCATGGAAAGTCGGCTAGAGCACCAACCGCCTCCGTTTCGAAACAGACCACGCCGTGCTGCTACGCCATCTGGTCTCGCAAAAATGCGTCCTTGATTACCAGTTCACCTGAAGCAATCGTTCCGCGATGCACTGTTATAAAAGCATTGCCATCATCGTGGACAGCCCTCTCTATACGCTGCTTCGGATCGCATCCTGATTCCGCACAGCTTACACCAGGTTGCCCATGGGTGTAGTCTGATGGGTAAAGCTGATCACTTTCGGCGCCGGGAAACCTAAAACGGCAGAGCTGCCTGTGGCTAGTCTGGATTCTCTCGATATCTCTCCAAATAGGATCAATGCTTAGTCTCGCTCGTTGGGTAGCGAAGGCTTGCGCAGCATTGAGAAGGACTGCGGGCGGCGGTGCGAGTGCGCCCGTCCGCTCGAATCGACCCTCCAAGGCTTTTCCATGGTCGTACTGAACGGTCCCGGAGTTGTCTCTTGTTGGCTTTGCGACCACCACATGCCCCAGCCGTATCATGCCTTCATCCGTTCCTACCGGCACACGCCCCCCATACCAACCAGGAGACAGAATTCGATATTCAGAAACGTCATCCTGAGCTGCGTGATAACTGTGGCGGCTGAACAGTTTCCAGGTTGGTGAAGGCCTGCGATGACCAAGTTATGGCCATTGATACTGCCAAGCTTGTAGACATTATGGTCTCTTGCTGACTGTGGCATTGTGACTCAACTTCCTCGGGGGCTTTGAAGTCAATTCGGACATTGATAAGGGATTGACTCTAGAGTACAAGGTGGCGTGGTTGATGCGACAATCTGACATCAGACTTGGCAAGACTACGAAGAGAGACAATGTAGGAGTCGAGGGCCAATGTCCTTTATAGCAACATTAAAGTAAGGCTGTGCGAGACTGAGCATCCTACTAATCAATAATATGCGACCTTCAAGCCCTCTGCCGGACACCCTAATTTTGCTGCGGTCAGCCCCCAGGCATTTCCAGTCAACAAAGGTCGAATGTCACATTGAAACTGGACGCCTTAAAGCAGTTCATCACCGATGCGACGGTCCTGCAGAGTGGTGCAGCCCCCCAGCATGTCACAGCCTCGACACTGGACACCCACTACAACGATGGTGACATGGAGGAAGTGTTACACGGAAATCGCCCTGTTACACAAGGGCTCCGTCACGGGATTAGGGCAGAAGGCCCTCGCCGACTTCTTGTATAAATAGACATCTTCGGTCCCTCAAGGCCTTGAGGAAAACCAAGGACCTTTGATACCAAAGACTGTTATTAGTTGAATTGAGCTAAATTGCTCCAAGCCCTCTTTCCGAGCCCTTGTCACAGGAAGTGATCATCGTACGCATTGCGCCTCGTTTCCAATTAGGGTTCAGGCAGATGTGGCTGGGAGTTCGGCCGCAACACCATACATTCAAGTCCTTTTTTTCTTTTGCGTGGAAGTGGCTCGGCCCTCCACTTCCTCAACAAAACATCGTGTCGTAGAATATCGGCCTCTTGAGCAATCTTAACCCTAACCCTTATATGTGGATAAAATAATTCCCCAAACAACAAAAGTAGACTACTAGCTAGATTAATGATAACACCAGCTGACCCTAATAAAACTGTCCTGCCCGCTTCCTTGCGCACCAGCGCTTCTCGCCCGCCACGTCGTCCGCGTTCGCCACCTTGATGTCCACTAACACCGCGGCGACGGTATGTGCCCGCTTGCGCCTCTTGATTGTCCCTTGGACGAAGTGAATCGTATATCACATCAGACTTTTCTATGTTGGCGTCGTCAATAGTGGCCACATTGACTCTGTTCTTTTCAGGTGCGACATCCGCCTCTGGTTTAGGGGCAGGAAGACCACCATCGGCAAGCGCAACAGTGACTGCTACAGTCACGATCTTCATTTTAATAAAGGTGTGAACTGTGATAAAGAATCACAGAACCAACAAGATTGGTAGTATTGCCGTTTGGAAAGAACAAGTTTAATCGGGAACTTATATTAGCTCTTGAAGGCAAGATATACCTTGTATATGAGGATTCATCGGAGACACATAGCCCACTTACTACGGGCGTTTGATTCGTCCAATTTACTTATGGGCTTGTGTGAGGCAACTGTTTGCTTGTTAAGCTTCATTTAACTATTGGCAACCTTGGCGCCTCTAGGCCCCGAAACCTGACTTACCGACAATTGGCTTTTTTTATTACCCGCTGCCATCCGATCGGTCCTTGACCGACCGGGAGGCAGGGACAAGGGCGCCCGAGTTCCGAATATCACTCCAATGCATTCCAGCCTCCGCCTCGAAACAAAATACTGGAGGCAAGACGGAAGTTTGTTCCCTGGCAAGGCAACCGCGCAAGCGTAGCTACAGTACATCATTGCCTTGGCTGAGTTTAGCTTTGCTGCCCTTTTAGGGGCCAAGTATAATGTCCCTTCCTAACAAAAGGTAGGACCATCAGTAGAGCATATTGACTGTTTGGGGAATCTCTTCTCGCTCTCTCACCTTGACTTCGTGAACGACAGTTTAATGTCCCATTCCATGTCTTTGGGAGACTTGAAGACCACAAACCATATAATTCTTGGTCAAAGGATGAGAGTAAGGATAATAGAATTCTATGGATTCATGGTCCAACGGGTTTTGGAGCATCTCACTTCGCATCATGGACAGCGGATCTCGCATCGTCTAATGGCGAGGCTGGCGTTATCGGCTATCGCTTTGATGAGACTGATGACAGACACAGGCCAACGCAGCAGATATATGCGGCTCTGAGCTACCCGTCACGTTGTTGTGTTTAAAGCCTCCCCATTTTTATCACACCGACCTGCTGTACAAAGCCGCGATGAATGCAACCACCGACAAGGGGAGATGCAGGCTCGATCAGCTTTGGAGCATCCTTCGCCCTTTGCTAAGCTGCCCCAGTCATGGGAAAACAGTATGCATAATAAACAGCGTCGATGAATGCAAGCCTTCCAAAATTTAATCGACCAGACACGACTTGAGGTGGAACGAGTGCTGAAATCAATTCCCGAGACGGAATCAACCCTGCGTCAGAGATTACTCGCACACGTCTTGGGACAAGATGCCGTCCGATGTCAAGGATCGTATTCTGATGGGCCATGTGACCAACAGATTTAAAGAATCTGTTTGGCCAATTTATCGACATGAAGAATGATCAAGTTTTGCTTGCGCATACATGTAAAAATCTGGCATAACTACCTCGCGAATCAATCGAATGGCCCTGGAAGGGCTGGTGTCATGGGCTCGAACTGTCATGCAGCAAATTCAACACATGTATAAGATGTCTCTCAAAGAATAGATGGTCAGAATTTTTATTTAATATAAACATCAGACCGGACTTTAATGCTCATGACAATTTAGGCATAGCTGTGCTGTTGGCCCGCGTAGCTGAGGTCGGGACTGGTCTTGTTTCGCATCAATAGAAATTTGGCCCGCGCTTTTAAAACATCAAATGCTTTCTTTTCTTTTCCACAGAAACATGAATGGCGTAGTATTGAGACACAAACAACCAGACTCTTCACACCAGACTCTTCACACCAGTCTCTTTTCGGTAAAACGTCGCCTGATGCTACACACCCAGAGTCCATCATCTGTTCACGCGCATCCATCCCGTGGTCTAATTTGCGGACATCTGGAGCAGCTGGACACGCCCGGCAGTCGCTGGTTCGTTGACTGGCCCCACTGTCTGCGCATGTGGCCCGTGCCCAGTGCTGTCTACTAGAAGCCGTCCACTACGCTACAGGCGGTATGTGCCGCGCGCAGTGGGGCATGGCACCATCTTGGCTGCAAAGTCGACCAGACACATGCATGGACCAATTGACATGCATCAACATTGAATTTGATACTCATTGACCCGACTGGATTTGATGTCATTTTCATCGTCAGTCAATTCGGTGTGACACAGCATTCCCGGTGCACCTTATCTTGCCCGCTCGCCTCGACCTCATTTCTTCACCCTCTCCCCGCATCCACCTCTCGTCCCGTCTTCGCAGCTGCCCCAAAGCAACATCAACATCAACAAACAAGAGCAAAATGTCACAACCATCCCGCTGGCGCCGTCCAGCCCAAAACTTCCCCCTATTCCCCCATCTCGCCATCGTCCCTGCGCTCCTCGCCATCGCCACCGCCGTCGCGCTCTTCCTCCACTCCGACGTCAACGCCGCGCTGCTCTGGTCGCAATGCCACTCGCACGCCCTCCTCCCAGCCCTCAGCCGTGTGCCCATCCTCGGCACCCCAGCCTGCTACCTCGTCAGCTTCTTCTACGCAGCGCTCGACTCCTTCCGCAGCAAGGCCGTCATGTCCGTCATCCTATCCTATGTCGGCGCCCTCCTAACCGTCTCGACCGTCGAGTCGGCGAGAAAGGTCAACGAGAAGAACGCCGTCGTCTCCAAGCCGACACTGCCGTGGCTCGTGTTCAACTTGCTCGGCGGCGCGCTGGTCTGGCAGCTCGTGTACGCGCCGGCCTTTATTCTCGGTGCCAAGGCCTGGCCGTTCCCCAGCACAGGCAGGCTCATCACCGACGAGGGCCACGGCGATCCGCCTGTGGCCAGGGACGAGGAGGAGCGTGATCCTCTGCAGCTGGACAAGGGGAGACAGATGAAGCTGGTGGAGACGATTGCTATTCCCATCGCCGTGGCGCTGGGGTACTACGTTCCGTCGACGCTGATGCTGTCCCTGAACAAACCCGCCGCCATTGGGACGTGGCTGTTCTTCCCGGCATATGTTTCTCTCATCAGACAGTTTGTGCGGTATAGCCTCAACAAACTGCGTCGGTTCCAGGACGGGCCCATGATCCACATGGAAGCGAATACCAAGGCCTTCATTGCCGTCTACGCCGTGCCCGTCTTGTGCTCTCTTCTTGCGCACGGCTTCATTATTGGCAACTTGACGAAAGCAGATGACCGTCAGGAAGTGACGCGCTCGACGGTCAAGTTTATCGAGATTGATAGCCAGTTCATCGGACTGACAATGCTGTATTGGGTGTTTACCGAAGTGGGCTGGAGGGCGCCTCTAGCCATGGTGGTTGCGTCCATTGTGCTGGGTCCCGGGGCAGGCACCGTGCTGGGATGGCTGTATCGCGAGAAGCTGATTACTTCCGACATGATCACGCAGCTGCTTGAGCAGGTCAACGACGAGGAGCGCGGAGATGTGGGTGAGGAGACGCCGCTTATTCAGTAAAGATGCAGCTTAACCTGGGCGTATTTGACACGAGAGATTGCAGGCACAGCGCGGGGTAGCAAGGGATGCGTAGTCGGGGTATTTTCTTTGGCGTGCGTATAGCAGGTTGCATTTTCCCTCGTGCGCTATTTTGAAAGCGTTGTTTATACAGAGTCTAGCGTGTCCCTCCTTTCTAGAATATAAAATACATGGCATGAATACAGGTCTCCGCTGCCCAACCTCACATGGAATTAGTGGTTCTTTGACAGTCGCGCCAAGATTCTCTCCCGCACAACTTTTGACGCAACTACTGATCCGTGCTGTAGCGTAATCGCGCCGAGGATGGCTAGGACCGCGCTGTTGACGACGACTTCGACACCTGACGACTCGAGGCTTTTGGGCTACAGCATGTTAGTACTCGCATACCCAGTTCCGCGGTGGCCAAGACAAAGGAAGGGAAAAATCATACCAGTCGGGGTTTCCACCGCAAAACGTCCAATATGCCCGCATCCGACGCCAGCGAGAACAGCTTTTCCTTGCTAACCACGTCCTTTGGCTCCTCGACGCTCAGGTTATCCACTGATGCGAGCTGTTCGTGTTCAAAAGGCACCCTGTCGAATTCGTCTGTCTGCCGTGACCCCGGCAACGGGGCCTTGCTGACGATTTCCTTGGTCGCTTCCATGACGAGCGTCAGTCGTCCTAGTCCAGTCAGCACGAGTCACGTCTCCAATTTCTGCCCTCCCCTGGACCTTTGTATTCTGGGGGAAAACGTACCCAGCAGTGCCAGCTTGTCGTTGAACCCTCTCCTCCCCTGGTCAAAGCTCTTGTGCGTGACCGCCAACCACTTCAGCTCCTCGGGCAGCATCTTGCTGCCGCCCGGCCCCAGTAGCCGATTGTACATGTTGTCTAGCTTCGCGGGGTCGTTGTTGACTTTCCAGACCTTGTTTTTGAAGGATTTCGCAAAGTCCAGCTGCATGGGGGCTTTCATACCCGGAGGCGTTTGGCTCCATCGGGGCACAGAGGATTCCTGTGACGAGGCCTTGAAGGGTTCGGACGTTGATTCGGTGGCGTAGGTGCGCAGGGAGGGCATGAGGGCGCGCAAGGCGCAGCGCGCCCGGGGAAAGTGCGCGCGGCAGGGTTGGAGAGCCATGGCGGTGTGGAATTGGCGGCTTGCGAGTCGTGGTTGAGATGGGTTGCGCGAGCGTCGCGATGGTTGAAAATGGAGGTTTGATGGAAGTTTTGTGGTCACGTGCAGGGTGTAGGGGTCTTGCAGGGGTGGCTTTTGGCCGCCTGTAGTTTAGCGGTTGCTGTCGTTTGGCAATGGAGTGACGACATTGTAAAAAAAATAGTAATGAGGGAGACATAATTGCAGAAGAATGAGAGCTATTTAATTGGTGGTTTGATTTAAAATTATTTTTGCAGGTAAACGCTCATGATAAGTCGACAGAAGAGGGACGATCCCTAACCCTAGAAACTAACCCTAAGTACCTAAGTACTCAACCGTCAAGTTGGATATTGCCCCAGGTTCGATCTCGTGGTATTTGTCCTTGGCTGGCTTGAATGATTAATCGAATTTGCGACAAAGATTAGATTATGATACTTTTAATTATATAATTACTTAAAAGCTTAATTAAATAACTAATATAATAATTATAATAATTACTTAGGTTATAAACTCTTAGCCTTAAAATAATTCTACCTCTTATAGTTAACAGGTTTAACGTCCAAGAGGTAGTGTAGTATTTTAGTTATAAAATATACCCTGAAGGTTTCTTGAAATGTTCTAGTCCTTAAAACTACGTTACTCAGGGAGCTGCTATCATCTCAGGAAGCAAGTGACTGGTATAATTCCACAAAACGCCCGCGCTATGAGACATCATAGCGGCTCCTGTATACCAAGTACTTCGATAACCCTGTAGATCAAATAACTCTGAATAGAATCCATTAATAACCGACTCAGCAGATACAACCATCTTGAAGGGCGTATGGCTGTTGAACCTCACAAACTCTGGTGAGATCTTTGTCGCACCGTTAACCGTATCCTGTAAGCGCTTGATAATCGTTGTTACATCCGCTTGCACCTCGGACTGCGTCATATCTTTCGGAGCAGAGTACCAGACATAAAATAGGCCAGGAACGCGAGTTTCAGTTATTTGATATGGAGCAGGTAGCTGAGGGATGTTAAAACGTGTCGTGGAGGGGTCCGCATTAAGGAACTTGTAGCCAGCTGGCAAACCAGTTTTGTGTACGAGCATGACGTAGTAAGCGCTGTATTTCCACTGAGAAAACACCTTAGACTCCTTCCCATCAACATCGAAAGGTTTCATGTCGCTCATACGTGTGGGCATGCTAATAAGCAACTTGCGCGCCCGAATCAGTTTCTTGCCTGATGGTGTTTTGACTACCAACTGGACGCCAGTCTTTGAGCGTTTTGATGCGATGACAGTTGATGAGGTCAAAGCGTCTTGACCCAGCTCGGCTTTTGCTCTAACGTAGATCTCGTCGTTTTTGTGCTGCTTCGTGGCGACATAATCCCCAGTAAGCGCACCGATGTAAGACTTGTCGAAGAACTTGATGACATTGATCGTCAACTGGTCCAAGACATTTGCGAAACCTTGGCAGCTGAAATAAGTAGTGTACGCGATGTCTACTAAATTATATTTGGCAACAAAATCGCGGAAAGGAAGAACCAGGTCATCCGCAACGGGGTGCCCTTGGTCCCAGCTGTACTCCAACCATGGATATTTGTCTAGCTGCTGGATATAGGCCGAGTAGTTGCTGCTTGTCCGAACTTCAACCTGTTTCCCCGTCATGAAGTCTATGTAGACGGTAGTTTTTGGTTCCGGTTCCCAGTTGCTTATGGGGATATCAAAATGCGCGAAGTAGTCGCGAGTGACGGAGAGATTCCAGTACGCCTGAACGCCATAATCAAGCGTAGTTTGGGTAGCTGGATCGGTATAGCTATTGGTGTGCCCCCCTAGAATAGCTTCTCTCTCTACTAGAACAACTGACTGATTCAGCTTGCGCAGGTTGATGGCAGCGTAGGTCCCTGTGGCGCCACCGCCGATAACCGCCACATCTCGGAAAATGATGTCCTGCTTGGCGTAATTGCTGTCAAACAGGGGATCTGATGCGGAGATGGTGATGACTATGGATAGCCATGATGCGTGAAAAGTGATGAGCTTCATAGTTAGATTCAGATCAAAAGATAGTAATGAACCTGCTCACTTAGTTTTGTTTTTAGTTTTTTTTTTCTTAGGGTATGTTCCGTTCCCTTCTATATAGACGCATGTCAGTGGTTACACAAGGGATATACTCACGAGACCTAGGGCATAAGGCTCACAGCGGAAATTGTTATATTGTAGGCAAGGTGCCGAAAAGAGTGTAAAGCTATTCGTGTACTCGGTGCCTCGATCTTCACTGTTGTAGCCTTAGTGGGTTGACCCACTCGGAGCAATGTTGCGTTTATAGTTGCATCAAGAATCTTCAACTGGGTTTATGCATGGGCGCATGTAAACACCTTGTCACTCAGCCGTATTTAGTTGGCTTGTTTGGTTGGCTCAGTCTTCGGACTGCATGCTTGTTGCGGTACAACGTTTTTAGTTAGGATAATTATTGTTAGCAGTACTAGCATAAATGTGCTAATTTCCTAATTGATTGGCATTTCACGTAGTACGTACAAGCAGGCACATACATATTTCACCTTTCCTTTTTAGGTAATAGCGAGTCCGGACGGACGAAGGGAGGTGTGTAGGCAGACGGAGTGAAGTGGTACACGTAGTCAACGTTGTCAGTAGACAGTCACCAACCAGCGGGGGTGATCTGTTGGAATTCATCTATTGGGAGCTGTACGCATGAGCGCTGATCCAATAAAACCTGAAGGGTTTGTTGGTCACGTCTGTCCAAGACGATTCTGCTGTAAACGTATTAGAATGCGTTCGAGCTCGAGTGGAGCGACCCCTGCAAGAGGCATCTGTAAACGAGGGGGTTGACGAATCTTCCCCCGAGATAGGGGGTTTGACGCAAGGAAAAGAAAATAGTATGCAGGGACCATAGTCCCCCGACTTATTGTCAAATGATTTTGTCATCTACCCGTCAGTGACGAAGGGTGTGATCCAGAACTGCGGCGCTTTCATAACTTGGTCTGTAACTTTAGGATAAATTCCACAAAAAAGTCACCTTCCTTAAATTAGTATGTGGAACCCTTATAAATTTAAGTAAAAATATATAAATCTAGAATACGGACTAAACCCCTTTATAATTAATGTACCACGCTAGCCGGGGCCGCGTAGATGCTTGTGAAAGGCTTAGATGCCAAGATAATTCTGAAAAAACGCATTTGTGAGCTTTTTAAAAAGGAGCCAGTTAAGTTGGCACCTAAAATTTGGTTGCGGACCTACTTGACGTATTCTGACTGAAGATGGCGAGTATTTACGAGGGTATAAGCGTGTTTTTGGCGATAATATAAGTGTAACAACTAAGATTCCTAAGGGATAAACTAATTATAGTTTATATTAATAAAATAACTAAGGTAATTAA